AGCCAATTTTATTTTAGACATATATATAGATTGAGAATTTTCCTTTGACTACAGCGTTACCAATCCTGTTTAGCTTAGAAAAATTGAAGATAATGTAATTGTTGACACGAATGTGTGGTGAGATATTTCTGAGTGAATTTGAAAGCTGGCATAACGGAGAGATCTATGGGTTATGTCAAAAAGTGTAGATGACATTTTTAAGCAATGGGATTTCATCTCATTTGGAAACTTACAGAAGAAATTATGATTCTTATTTTTATTTTCTATGTTCTGGACCACATGAGTAGTAAGGAATAATTTGGTATTCAACAAGGTGGCTCTAAATTGGAATATTTATTCTCCCTTATCTTTCACATAAAACTTTGTATGCACAGAGAATGATTTAATTCGAAGCTTGGATGATATTCACAGATGGACCAACAAAGTCAAACATCAAGGTGCAAATGAATGGATTAAGCCAGATGTAGGATTTTCGAAATGGAATGTACATGGCTCATCAATGGAAAAGTCAAATGCTTCAGGTATTGGAGGTGTTTTTAGAAATCAAAAAGGGTATTTTTTTATGCATTTGTTCCGGACTAACAGATGTCAAACATTCAAATGAACAGAAATTCTTGCGATCAAAAAGACTCTCGGAACTAATTATTGTTTCTCATCCTCTTACTCAACAAGTTCATTGGATTGCTGATTCGAATTCTTCAAATGCAATAAGTTGGGTTCATAAAATGTACAAATGACACGCAATAAAAGTTAGATTTTGTCTTTAATAATATTACTTCCGCTATTAATAAGTTGAGCTCTGTTTTTTTTTGGCTACAATGAATGGTTGAGAAATGTTGTAATAATATAGCTAAACATATATAGTATTAGCAAGTAAGAGAAATTCCTAACTTGGCTCTAATTTTCTGTAACTCTATTTGTATTTTGCTTATTCTGCCACTATCTTGTTGACTTTTAATATAATTCTATCGATATTAGATATATATAAACTAGAATGTGTATGAATGTTATTAAATGGGAGTAACTGGCCATACTTTAAATTGCGTTTCACGTGCAATATATGTGAATTAAAAATAGAGATTAAAAAAAAGCTATATGTACGTACTAGAATAACAACAAATGCTCCCAATATAACAAATTGAGCTACGTTAGGTTAGGAGGTTTGCATTTACACTTAATTATATCATTCACTCATTTAGTCTGCACTAATTGTCTTTATATGTATATTTCTTAATTGCTTGACAGCCTGTGCCATTAATTTTGATTAATTGAATTCCCAAAAAAATAGTATTATACTTCTTCTATATCGTAAAGGTTTATATATATTTCAGGTTTCATTAATTATCAAATATGTAAAATTGACAATATCGAATCTGATTAACTCTATAACAAAGAGTTTATAACTCAATAATAATAGTCTTTTACGAAAAGTCATGAATTCAAATCTTAAAATATTAATTTTATTAAGAGTTTTAGATGTATTTATTAAGTGTATGAGTTAAAAAAAAAAATCTGACTAACTGTATAATTAAGAACGCGGAAGATTTGACTTGATCAAGCCAGCGACATGCAATAAGGACATGAAACGCTTGTTACAAAGTCAGTTTATGGCGCTTCAAAATTAAACTTGGATTCAAGTTAATAGGAAAGAAAGAAGAGGCAAGGAATTAAGTAACTTGCTGGTTTCTATCAAACCAGTTGTAATCTCACAAATAAAAATTAAAATGTTTGAGTGTATATTATTATTATTATTGGATCAAAACTGGCGTGTTTTGGTCAAAACTTGAAAGTTGTGAAGCTTGTTCGCCATGCACCATCGCCAAATGGTTCGAACCCACCACTTGCTACCTGAAGCATCATAAAGTAACTACCGCAATCCTATTTTTTCTTTTTTTACAAAAAGATCCAGACGTAGATCTATATATCCAACGCTACACAAAATTAATTTGACCACCCCAACAAAAACGATAATAGAAAAAGAATGAAGAACTATAACTATCTATTCCCACATGAGATATTGTAAACAAGTGAGCAAGTTTTAAGAATTAAACCTTTTAACTTTTTTATAAATACCCGAAAGCACTCCCCGGTGAGCCAAATACCAATTTAGGAGACATATTAGCCTTTAGGAAAATGATCTCTACTTCTGAAGCTTAACTTAATCCATCTAATCAGCTGTATAATTAGCAGAAATTTTATCAATTTATCGAGGAAAAAGAATTTAAGAAGTTACAGAGATTGTGGATGGTAACAGAACATATTCCTAGCTGTCTCTGCAAATCTATAAAGTGTTTTAGGTAGCTGGGCATCTACGTACAAACAAACAAGAAGGCATATACTTGGATGATAATGGCCATATGACATAACTAGAGATTCTGTTGTCAAATCCTCACCTATCACCGCCCTATTTAACTACTTTGCAGAAATTTTGGAGAGAGGGAATGGAGAGAATATTTGGCATACACGTTAGTGTACAAGAACGATAATAGCAACGTAAAATGGGGGAAAAATATCCTATGAGTTGCTAGGTTAGTATTATTTTAGGTCAAAACCAAGGGCCTATGGGACCAAAGATTGCATCCCTCTAGAGTTATATAAAGGTTCTAACAAACACATCGGATTAGACAAGAGCATTACAAACAGGGCTTAATCTTTGTTTATTTATTTATTATATTTTATGGATATGCATGATCTGCATGCTTACGCTTCTTTTCTTGATCTGATCAACTATTGTCTGTGTCCTTTTTTCCAGCTGTGTTTGTGATTGAACCCATCACGTCTTTTCACAAAAGCATATATAGACAAGATGTACTAGAAAAAAGATTCTATAATTTACATGATAATGTTGGGTATGATGCTGAAAGAAAAAAGCCATGGATGAAAGAATATTAGTCTAGTCGATGGCTAGCTTAAGTAGTGTTTTGAATTAAGTACTCGAAGGTTGCTTACGCCTTCTCTGGTCATCTAAAATTGAATCTATGATCGAGGTACATCAAATTCTCAAAATAAAAGTAATACCTGGTAACGAGCTTAAATTTTTCAGTTTTATGCTTAAATCAAACAAGGCATGGATCATGGGTGGATGGTATATGTAGTTTACCTAGCCTTACCTACAAACAAAACCAGACTTAATATATTAACACACATATCCTGTATAATTTTGCCTTTGGAACTCCAAACTAGGCTAACAGCGAGCTATAAATTTATCCACGTTACACTAGAAAAACTTCTATGGCTATTTTTCTGCCATAAAAGCAGGAAAAGAATACACAAGTCAGAGAACGGACAATAAAAAGAAAAAATAATAACCCGAATTTGTGTAAATCTTTAACCCAATCGATAAAAAACTTGATAATTAATTGAAGTGAATGGTTCTATATATATCGGAGTTAATTATAGTTATTTTTTGGACGTAATTTCAAATTCTTATATCCCCTAATTGTTTTAAGCGACATGCCTTGAGGCACGCATGACCGTGACTGTATATTTATGGGAACAAATGGAAGGGACTATTTGAAAAATATTCAACATCACATTATAAATATTTTCTTCACAAAAAAGTGCGGTTGTTCAACTTTTTTAAAATAATAACATCTGATTCTTCAAGCTTGTTTAATGACTGGTCAATAATATCTATGAAAAAATTGACTGGTCAATAATATCTTAGCAAAGTGATTCGTTACTGATGATGTTTTTGATAGGATGAGAAGTTGAGTTTCTTTCTTTTGCCAGTGATTAACATATTGACTTGTCACTTAGCTATTGAATACTGAATAATTCGTGAAGGTTATAAATTTAGTGTCTAACGAAGATTTACCCGTTAAAGTTCCAATTAAGTTTAGGACCTATCGACGTTGCTCTTTCATTATCGAGTACAATCAATTCTCGTCGGGTTGATAGGTTTCTCTGACAGTACTGCAATGGATGAATCCATGAATGTTTCATAAATTTTAGTCAGTTTTGGTCTCCGACCTAATTCAACATGATCATTGGATTCGTTTCTCCATCGGACAGCACACCTTAACAATCTTATATAATCCAGCTCATAAACGAACACCACTTATGTCACGAGTTGCTCGAAAACAGGGGATATATATATATATATATATATATATGACGAGTGACTCTTCCGTCTTGGATAACGTCTTTCTGAGCTTGTTTCCTAAAATCCATGGGCCGCTATTTATTGCTGTTGTTAGTTTTTATTGCACACCTCAGGTTGGTCCTTGGTTTACAACATTCTGCCACTATAAAATGAACTCACTACCAGTTTTGGTTTAGACCATTGACTCAGCGGGTTTGACAGGCAGGACTAGTTGAACGAACACCAATGCAACTTGGCCGCTTGGCATGATATCATCAGACCATTTTGGAGCTTGGTAATGCCGATTACATATTGCTTCTCAATCGCGCGTCATATTTGCCGATGCATCCATGTATGGATTTCCATCCGTAGATGAAATTTGACGGTCCCAACTCACAAATATCAACAAAACTATTTTGTAGTAAGATACTTTTGGTCCATCTTTAAATGAAACATGAGAAAATCAGTCACCATGGTCCTGAAAAGATAGTAAGCCTCAAGGCCCAGCTCTACAACTAAAATCATTCTTCACCCATTGCTGATTTACGAAGAGTCTTAACATCTTACATCATCTAAGCCCAAAAGGCTAGAACTAAAACCGAACGAGCAGAACAAAACATCTTTCAACTTTATCCAAACTTTATCCAAACCTATGCACGCATGTAATAATTTAATAGTGATAATGAAATAGTAATAATCTAATTATTGTTGTCCAAAAAACAAAAACATTTCCCGTCCAACCCCATTACGGGAGCTGACGTCACCGCCGGTCACAATGCACGGCCATCACCCTCACCCTCACCCATATCCCCTTTCCCTTCTTCTTCCAATCCTACTATTCCTTCTTTTCTCCTCATATCTTACAGTCCCTCCTCCCTCCGGCGGCGCACTTTAGCCCCGAAAACCACTCCCCACCATGGACCCCAGCCCCTCCGCCACCACCAGCCGGCCCCACCACGGTGGTCGCGAAGACTGTTGGAGCGATGGCGCCACTAAGACACTAATCGAAGCCTGGGGTGACCGTTACATAAATCTTAATAGAGGTAACCTCCGTCAAAAAGACTGGAAAGAAGTCGCCGACGCCGTCAACAACCGTCAAAACGGCGTCAAACCAAAAAAGACCGACATCCAGTGTAAAAATCGAATCGACACGTTGAAGAAAAAATACAAGATCGAAAAATCCAAACCCCTCCGGCAACTTGGCAGTTCTATTACCGTCTCGACTCTCTCATTGGCACTAATAGTAACACTACTAACACCGTCAAGAAACCCACCGCCGTTACTTTCACTGTGCAGTCAAAGACAAAGCCTAAAAAAGAGGTTTATTCAGGCATGGCAAGTTCTCGTGAGAGCTCTTCTGGCGACGAGGAGGATGATATGGCGTGGTTTGATGAGAGAGTGAAGAAGAAACGGCATCGAATGGAAGATGTAGATTTATCTGATGGAGCTGCGTGTAGGGAATTAGCGAGAGCGATATTGAAGTTTGGAGAGATATATGAGAGAATTGAGAGTTCAAAACAGCAGCGAATGATGGAGTTGGAAAAACAGAGAATGGAGTTTACTAAAGAACTTGAGTTTGAAAGGATGAATATGTTTGTTGATGCTCAATTGGAGCTCAAGAAGAAGTCTTTCAACCGCCATAAATTTGCATCGAGTTCAGGTTTGTTCAATGAAATCTTGCAATTTCTTTTCTTTTCTTGATCTGGGGTTAGCTGATATTGAGTTTTCTCATCTTGGTTTGCTGCTGTTGTGATTTTATAGTGTTTCTTGATTGATAGTTTATGTTATTGCTCGAATTTGTTCTTGGCTTAAATTGTTTCATTTGCATGTATCGGAACTATGCTACTGGTCTCGTGTATCAGTTTCGCGTGTGGGGTTCTGTCCAAGTCTTTTAGCAATTCTTGTTTACAAGATTCTGTATTATTTAGGAGAGTCCTGCACCCTTAGATTTATGGCCAACCATTACAGTGTAAAAACTGGATAGTTTTTATTTGAACATATTAGTAAGGGGTCGCATGGTAAAATGATTACTTTATGAATTGCCGATGGTTTTACGTTTTAGGTGAAGCGAATTGAGGTACTAAGAGTAACTTGGGTGTTAGGAGTAACTTCCATGTCAAAACTTTCCAGTTCTGTACATTGGATGGTGAGGAAAGCAGGAGATGTGGATATTCAGGACCGATTCTCTTCAGTTAACTGTTTTGGCAAATTTGTGTTTCACACTTATATTTATGATTCATAGATTGCCCCCTACAATTAGCGATAGAGAGGAGTTTAAGTCAGCTAATGTTTGTTTGAGGGTGGTCAAACCTAGTCATTTGACATGAATTAGGTTCAGGCTCAGCTAGGGCTTACATCGGCTTATGTGTGTTTTGGGTGATCAACCTTAGTCATGTTGAGATGAATTAGGTTCAGGCCCAGCTTAGGGTTGACGCTTTGCCTGATAAATGCAGGCAACTGCTCGGAGGTGACTTGTTAGTACGTCCCAATGGGCTTAATGTAACATGAGGTCCCATTGGGTTGAACGTGCAAACTGCTCAATCTGCAAAACTGGACTTCCATTACTCTTTATGCTGTCCTGACGCAGAACCTGCCTGAGTGGGATCTTTGGTGCTGGAAATGTTCTAACGTTACTCAAAATGGACACTTGAAAATTTACTCCTCGCTCCTGTCCTGCAAAATATTGACCAATTGCTCAGGGTAGCATGATGAGCTACTGATAACATTTGACTGATGTGTTTGGTGTCCATGCCAGTGATTGTAACTTGAATTTGACTTTCTATGAAGATCTTGAATTTCCCCTCACCTCTTCCTACAATCAGAATGTTCTCGTTTCTTCATTCAGAATCACAAAATTGTTGTTCAACTCTTGGCTATCTGTGTATTCATGTTGTGTAACTGAAGAGAGTCCAACTTGGGTTTGATCTCCACCTACGAATTTGAAGTACGAGACATGAGTATTTGTTGTTCTCCGAGATGCTCGTCTACGTGTGTGCCCTCACAGTGACACTCAGACACATGCATGTGCTTGGGCATGCATATACACATGCCACAAACATTATTTGTTCTGTATATCTTTATAACTGAACTTGCAATGGTGGCCTGATATTACCATCCTGTGTTAATGTTGCTGATAAACTTGAAATTGTATTCCAGTTGGGATCTAGTAAACTTATGTTGATATTTTGACACTTCGAACAGGGAAGAAGTTGTAGTTGAAATTGCTCGGACGCCTAATTTTCAAGAGGGGACTCCAGTGTGTAAATCTCCATGAAAGCCTCTTTTGATCTCTAGCTAAAGTGGAAGTGCTCTACCACATCATCCCGAGTCTGTCACATCTTCAACAGTCAACTTTGAAGCTTAAAGAATGATTATGACCTACCTCTGTCATATTCATGGCTGTAACACTATTCTGCATGCATCATAAGTTAATATGCTAAAGATTTTCTGTACTTTCTAATCTTCCGAACTGTATGTAACCTGTATCAGCTCCTTACATTGTTAGGCATCTTATTTTCCAAGTGATAAATACGTGATCTGCTTGTATCTCAATAAAGGCACTCCTTTTTGTTGAACTGGTCTCTCCTTCAAATGATGTTTTTGGGACAGCCGAGGATAAAAGGGGAAATGAAAGATAACCTATTAGCTGTTCATCACTTTAATATTATCAAACTTGGTTCGATTTTCGGAGGGATTAAATTTATGTGGAGGTTTTGGCTAGGGCCTGTATGAATAGGTTGTATTCAAACAAGTTAACCTATATGCCCACTTATATGATCAAACTGTTCTCTGGAGCTATTTACCTTTTGCTTTTGGAAGCTGACGGGGGTATTTCCAATTCTGACACTTGATTTCAAGCCTCAACGTTAATCTTTGGATTCGCATTGCACCAACTAAAGTGAATGAGCATGTTGTGGGGTTGGTTGCATCATTAGCCACTGTTGTGTCTCGCTGAACACAGGAGGGCTTTCAAATTTCCATGATGCCAGTTCTGATGCTTTAATGCGCGACACTGTTGGCTCTTGATTGGAAATTCTGGCCACTGTACCGATCAACTCGATATGCTAGGACTGCTCAATAATCGTTGCTATCCAGTCTGATCATATGCCAAGGATTGCTCAACAATACCTGCTCTGCAGTCTGATGGCGAAGCGATGACAGCAGCATATATAAGACATTTGGAGATGCTATTCATGATTAGATTTGGTTGGGTTTTTCTGATATTAATCTAATATCTGCAGAAACTAATTAAGCAGTAAATAATAGAACAGAAAGTACTTGGTTCATATTGAATTATAAAGTAGACTTAAATATTACTACCGAAATCCAGTTTAATTAGCACGGTTTCAACGATTCAGAGAAATCTTATTTCTTGATTGGGAACATAACCTGAAAGGGAAAATTCTTCAAATTTACATTACAAGAACAATAGGAGAGAGAAAAAACAGAAGATCTATTAAAATATATATGGGAATTGGCTGAAATCATTCATGGTATCGGATGAATTCTGGCTAAAACTGTCAACCAATCCACCACAAGCAGGAAATTCAGCGAAAGTAGGTATCATGATACCATGATCATTCAAGATAGGAGAAGAATTGGCAGCATGCCGAGCTAGACGAGCTCGAGCAATGGCAAGATCAACTTGTAGCTCAACCATTTTTCTTTGCAACAAAGCTATAGCACCAATGCAACCATAGACAGGATCTCTAAGCCTTGCCTCAGCCTCATAAGCTAGAGAATTCACCGTGTCTTCACGTTGCTCTTCAGGCACTTCAATCAAGATCTTACTCACATTGCTTGCACCAAAAACCTTGTGTACTTTGGCAAATTTTTTTGGCTCGTCTGAGCGAAAATATGGAGCAAATATGCAGTTGGGAGTGCATCTTCTTTTCAAGAACTTACAAGCTGCACACGAAGAGCTTGCACGAGGCTCGTAATTCCTCATACCTTCATATATCACATCTACTTCTATAATGTCTTTTCCTTCCTGTCAACCTTGTATAAATAGGCTTGTGCATAGGGTAGAGCAAAACAGTGTTGCAGGAATTTCTAAGTGTAGGTTGTTTTTTTAGCCTATCAGTACAATTGTCGTGCTAATAACGTAGGTCACATGTTCGAGTACATGACTTGCATGGGCCAAATGTTTTCTTTCCAAGTGACTAGTATTAGATGATTATTTTTTACCCAATGCTCCAAATTTTACTATTATGCAAGGAGGAGTCTGGAAAGTTGAAAAAAACTTACTACAAGGATTACAAATTGAGGATGATGGTCCCAAGAATAGAACATGGGGGCAGCAAGTGGTAATTTCTGATGAGACATGATGGTTCATCAGCAAGGATGGGATATTTCATTGAAGAAAAGAAACTTCATAAGAAAAAGTAAACACCGTTAAAGAAAGTTGGCCCCTATCCACAAGATGGAAACCTGGAGGGTGAAAAGACTAGTTGGGAATCTACATCAATTAGTGGAGGTGGAGCCAAGAATAAATATCACTACAGAGAGACAGAGCCATAGGTCATGCTGGGTTGTTCCTCAATATGTGAAGCTTTTCTCCTTTCTTACGTTCAATGAAAAAAATTAAGATGGCTATCTATGCTCTCACGAAAGGGGAAAAATATTTTTGATGCAAATTTTAAACCAGAATTTGTTAAGTGTCTGGATCTTAAGACTGGCAGAGAACCAAACCTTCTTACATGCGAAGCATTTCCTGATCAAGGTATTGCAAGAATTTACTTACTAGTACTGATTAATTAGTTTTTTTTTCTTTTTTTACCTGGTAATTGATTAGACATTAAAAATGCTCAAAATATATTATATCTTCTTCAAGTAGAGCCATTTTTTTTATGCTTCGGGACTCAAACCCTATCCAGATGTTGTCATTTACCACATTTTTCAAATTTGCCTTGCTCAAATTTGAGAACAAATTGAGCAGGGTTATTTGCTTGTTTCCGCTGATCAATTGACCGCATTGTTATATGTTTTCCACTTTATTGCTAAATCATGCATAAACATTTTTTTTAATCACTGTTTTTACATTTTACAGTAACTTAGTTTGAATTTTTTTTTAATTATATTTGTAGATTCTAGTCAATTTAGTAGATAGATTTAATAGGAGAGTGAAATAAGATAAAATCTTTTCGTACATAAAGCATAAAGAATTACAAGGAAGCCGTGACTTTTTTTTAATGTATTTTATCTATTTTTTTTAACAAAATCAAATAAAATGATGCAGTAAATAATAAATTAAAATTTATTTTTTAAAATGACTGAAAAATTCATTCTAATTAAAATAAAATAAAAACTATTTTTGCTAATTAGACTAACGAAATTCATCACAAAAATGGATATGAAGTCTTCAAAAAATAATAATAATTTTACACGAACAAAAAGTTTCTAAAATTTGACGAGTTTCATTTTTTGGGTTTTGTGTTTCTGTCTTTGTCTATCACATCAAGGGATGAGGTAGAAAAATGTCACTTCAAACATTTTGTGGTAGGGAGTTAAAAAGGGGACATATGATAATGCTTCAATGCTCCTTCAAGAGGTCCACTTGTTTAATGCCCGTCGTTTTCCAAAAAACAAAACCCACCCAAAGAAAAGCGTGTCCAGCATTGTGTTTCACGCGCCACCACTTGACTTCTATCACAGCCAAAATCATGATGGTGCTATACACGCGCTGACAGGGAGGACGGGACAAGTTTAACATAGAGATAATGGGCCGGCCCAAATAGTAGCGTCGATCGTAGATAGCAGAGGTCCACTTTTTTTGCTATTGATGGGTGTTGTTGTGTGGGGATGATTGCGAAAATCGCCTCCCCCGAAACCCCAAAATCCCAAAATTTGCAAAAGCACTTGCACGTTTTTGACGTTAGACTCGTGGGACCACCAAAACTGATAAAACTGATAGCAAGGTGATGATAGTGTTGACCACTTCAAAAAAAAAAAAAAAAATGATAGGTGCTCCAACTCTTTAGTAAGGCAATTAAAATTTGAGTCATTTTTTTCATCAAAGAAAAAGAAATTTTAAAGCCCCTTTATTAGTTTGGACAAGATAAACTTTAGCTCTTTAAAGACCAAAAAATATATATGTTTGACTTGGAAGAGGGAAAAAGAAAGGCGATAAAAAAATGGGCTTGAAATTAAGGGGATAAAATTAAATGGGTTTGATCATGGGCTTGGATTTTGTTGATGTGGTAGTTAAAATGACTCTTAGAAATGTAAATTATGGACCCCAGCGATCCTGTGGTTGTTCTCAAATTTATGACAATGGTCATTCAAACAATTAGAAAGTAGAATTCATTGCAAAGCATACAAGCGCACTTAAAATTAAAATTGAAAGTAAGAAAGCAGCACGACCAAGGCCTCATTAATTGCCACCAAGTTGGTACTTGGTAGACAAAAAAGAGTCCTTCCTGTACTGGCGCCCTTAAATGCCACCATGTTGGTGGGTCAGGCTAGGGCCCGGCTATATTTTCCCGACCGACCCTTTTGGCATTAGAGTAACACGGCATTAGTATTTTATCCTTCCTTAAAAGATTTCTAGTTGGAACCACTCTTTATATATATATATATATATAAACAAGTTTAGATATTTAAAGATTTGGGTTATCTTTGATATGGATTTTTCTTTGTTAGTATCAACAGTAACATCGCATAATTTATCGAGACTCTTTTTGATAATATCTCAAGTTATTCAAGTTAAGAATTATATATTTACGAGAAATTTTTGAACAGCTTCTTTAAATATTAAATTCAAAATAATATATTGCAAAAGAGTCTAATGACAGTTTTTGCTTTTGGATTATGGAGGTTGTGGCATTTTGAAATCAGTTTGATCAATTTTATCTCTAAACTATCATGTTGTGATTAAATATTATAATTCTTTTTTATATGATCGTTATCTTTGGCCAAAAATCCTTTTGAAAAAAAAAAATTAATTTTTGATATTTTAAGATGAATTTTTTTCATAATTATTAACGAAAATTCAATCAACTTTCACAAATACTTCATTTGTTTATACTTTTTATTTTCTAAACAATAAATATTTAATAAATTATAAAAAATAGAAAATAAGCTGAAATTATCTCAAATTTTTTTGAAAAGCTCTAAAGAGATCATATGAATTTAACGTGGTTCTCAAAATATTTGTATATGTGATTTTTAAAATTAACCTATTTTGTAAGTTTTCGTTATGTGTTATACATTCGGCAATGCAAAATTTGTTATAAAGTAGTATATATTATTATTTAAACCTAATCTAATAGTTTAAGCTTTTAGATTGAGATTATTTTTTAATATAATATTAAATATTTGATGATCAAAAGTTATGTATTCGAATCTCATCCCCTCAATTCTCTCTAATTAATATTAAACAATTAATCATAAGATAGTAGTAAGTTTATGTAAATTTTAAGTTTAAAAGGCTTTCAATTGACGAGATGTATTATAAAGTAATATAAAACATTCTTACGAGCTTCATCTGATAATTTAACTTTTTAGATTAAGATAATTTTTGAAAAATATTTTCAGATTCGTACTAAGACTAAACAAATAAATGTATATGATTTTTTTAGAACCTTGAAAAAAAATTGAGATCGTTCTAAATTATTTTTTGTTTTTTACAATTTTATAAATATTTAATTTTTATGAAAAATAAAAAATATTTTATGATCTTAAAATATTTTGAATTTATTGAATTTTTATTAGAATATATGAAAAGTTTTAGCTCAAAATATTTTAAAAAATAAATTTTTTAAAAGGAATTTTGGTCAATAATAATGCTCAATTAAAAAAAAAAAGACAGATCATATTTACTCGAATATAAAAATTTTAAAACAACGTTGACTAAAATTTGATAATACAGTACTTAATATACCGCAACTCCAATAATTGTTGAGTGAAAAATGTTATTAAACCTTTGAGAAACAAACCCTCCTACCGGATACCACCAACTCCAAGAGCATCTTTCTATCTGAACTGTTTTTCAGCTAGAAGTCGACACATGCAACAAGGCTACTCTTTAATATAACCATTCGGGCTCGATCCAGTTAATGCGGGATTGGGGGGCTTAAAGCTCTCATTGAACAGGTGTTATGATGAAGCAAAAGCCCATTTGTTTTTATTTTCCCAGTCAATTGGTTTTGTCGACAGGGGGACATCCTATGACTTCAGTATTTAACTTAGCTGGCGGTCACCATATTTTTATATTTTTATTTTTGAGGAGTGCTAACAATACTTTATCTAATATTTTTTTTAATACTTATTTAATAAAAATATTTACGTCAAATAATAATAAACAAAAGATAATTAATTTCTTATGTTTTCAAAAAAAAATTAATTTATAACTAATCTAAAATTATCTAAAAGATTAAAATATCTCTTGTTTATTTATTTATCTTTAAAATTATATGAAAAAAATTTGATATTGACATTTTCAATGAGCAAGTGTTTAAATAAGAATGTCCAAAAGAGTGTTGTTAGCACTCTTCTTTATTTTTTATATCACGCTCCGGATTTTTACTTTTTTGGTGGCTGAAAGATTAGACATTATATCTGAAATACATTGCAAGCATCCTCCTTTGAGTTTTCTTAAATAATAACAATAATAATAAAAGAAGTAGCACCTAATTTTGAAGCATTCTTTAATTATACATTTGTTATTATCATTATGTTACTTTCAGGTATTTGTCTTAGTTACTTGGGCAGTGGGGATGCGTCTACTGTCTCAGATGCTATCGCCGAGCAATTTGACTCGTATCAAATTTCAGATTTCTAGTAGATTAATTAATGGATTAAACAAAATTAGATATGAGAAAGAAATATTGAACTAAATTGAAAATTATAGACCTGATTCCCATAATCCAACCATTAAACTCCAATTCATAAGCTCGAGTCAAATTAAGGAGCACATGAATCCTCATGTTTTCTACATTCTTTTTCTTTTTTCATGGTGAACATATTAAGGTAATAAAGAGTGACATGAAATGATTATCAAGAGAATTCATGTTGTGGCAGTGCACTACCGTACAAGTCACAAAGGCTAAGCTGCAGTGCTTAAAAAAAAAAAAAATCTGTATGTAATGTCCGAGTAGTACCCTAAGCTTCAAAGCTACCTTAGAAGACAAAAACTAAATTTGGACACATATACGCGCAAGCAACTACCAAGGCTTGTTCAATGCAATACTCATTTTGAATATATATAAAATTTGGCGGGGAAATATCAACCAATCCACTGAAGCCGGTGCTTCCTCCAAGTGGCAGCAGCCCAGCAAGTCGTCATTCCTCTTCCACTATCCTTCCTCTTGTCTCTTATGTTGACCGTACAAAAGGAAACAGTCAAAAATCCATGCAAATAATCAAATATTTTCGTGGTGAAAGACAGATTTAATAATTAAGAATTAGAAGGAAGACAATTTCTCCAAGTGATCTAAAACTTAACTAATATCTCAGACTTGATAATAACAATGAACAGAAACTAACTCATGTAGGGTAAGAGGTCATGGATGTAGCTCTCCCTCCTATGATGATCTCCTCGGGTTTTTTGCCAACTGGGTCCTTGGTGGAATCACTGATTCATATATCCAGTGAAGTTGTTTCAGTGGAAAACCTTCCTTTCATACAATTTAGAAACATTTCAACCATGATAAGGAGGATCAAACTTCTTTCTTCTTTGTTTGAAGATATAAGAGAAACAAACAGTCCACTTCCTCCATCTTCCATCCTGTGTCTCACCGAGCTCTTTTCTGTGATCCAAAGGGTCAAGCTTTTGATTCAAAGGTGCAAGGATGGTAGCTCTCTCTGGGGTCTTGTACAGACACAGTTTTTATCCAATCAATTTCACGTGCTAGTCAAGGAAATGGGCGGGGCACTTGATATTCTACCTTTAAGCTTGCTTAATTTAAGCACAGATACAAGAGAGCAAGTTGAACTTCTTCACAAGCAAGCAAAGAGGGTTGATTTGCTTGTTGACCCTCGAGAACTTCAAAGAAGAGAGGAGCTTCTACAAATAATGGCCAGCAATAATCAGAAGAACAGCAGGAACAAGGGATTCGTTGATTTTGTCAAAGTGAAAGAAGTTTTGAAATGCATTGGTTTGAGAAGTCCATTGGATTGCGAAGAAGAAATTTCCAAGCTGGAGGCAGAAGCAGAGAAGCAGGCAGGCACGGGAGGACTAATTGTGGTTTCCAATATAAACAATCTTATCTCTCTTGTTACACATTCCAAGTCCGTGATTTTCATTGACAGAGATAAAGAGGAGATCAAAGAAAACTTCAAGCAGCGGTCTGCAGCCATGAATAGAACTCAAGATGTTTCTTCATCTTCTCATTCAATACTTTCAAATATACCTGATGAATTCCGATGCCCTATTTCCCTTGACTTGATGAAGGATCCTGTGTTAGTCGCATCTGGGCACACTTACGATCGCAATTCAATTGCTCAATGGATCAACTCAGGGCATCATACATGTCCTAAGAGTGGGCAAAGACTAATTCACATGGCCCTGATACCTAATTATGCACTGAAGAGTCTGGTGCATCAGTGGTGTCAAGATAACAACGTCCCATTAGTAGACAATCCATCTTCATCTTCCTCAAAATTTGAGAGAAGCAGCAGCAAGAGCAAATTAAGCGAGAAAGCTATCGATCACATTTCTGCCACAAAAGCTGCCATGGATGCTGTCAAAATGACCGCTGAATTTTTGGTTGGTAAGCTAGCAATGGGGTCCCCAGAGATTCAGAGGCAGGCGGCTTATGAGCTGAGATTATTAGCGAAAACTGGAATGGATAACCGCAGGATAATTGCTGAGGCAGGAGCCATACCTTTTCTGGTGACATTACTGAGTTCTACTGATCCAAGAATTCAAGAAAATGCTGTCACCACCTTGCTTAACCTTTCCATATTGGACAACAACAAGACATTAATAATGGCTGCTGGTTCAATTGACAACATAATAAATGTTCTTGAATCAGGAAAAACTATGGAGTCAAGAGAAAATGCAGCGGCAACAATCTTTAGTCTGTCAATCATAAACGATTGTAAGATGACTATCGGTAACCGTCCTAGAGCTTTCTCGGCCTTGGTTGGGCTGCTGAGAGAAGGCACAGCAGCTGGAAAAAAGGATGCTGCAAGTGCTCTATTGAATCTCTCTGTCTATAATGCTAACAAGGCGAGTGTTGTGGTTGCTGGGGCAGTTCCTTTGCTCGTTGAAATATTGATGGATGACAAGGCAGGCATAACAGATGATGCCTTGGCACTGCTGGCTCTGCTTTTGGGTTGCTCTGAAGGGCTGGAGGAGATAAGAAGGAGCAGAGTTCTTGTGCCTCTTCTTATAGATCTCTTAAGATTTGGATCGACCAAAGGGAAGGAGAACTCGATAACTCTGTTGTTGGGACTGTGCAAAGATGGAGGAGAGGAGGTTGCAAGGCGTCTGCTAATAAATCCGAGAAGTATTCCTTCTCTTCAAAGCTTGTCCACAGATGGTTCTCTAAAAGCCCGAAGAAAAGCTGATGCACTGCTTAGATTACTAAATAGGTTCTGCTCGCAATCCCATAATCCTGCTGGATAAAAAGAGAAGAAGAATATACAAAAAGGAGAGTAAATTTCTGGAAATCATATAATTATACTGGTGTTCATTTGTTACTGTTATTTACTCTCAAAGGTTAGTTTAAAATAACTTGCACTACATGTTTGTAAATCATTTCTCACACGGGTTACCTTGCACTAAAAATAATAAATAAGTAAAAAAATTCGATGCGAACCATACCTAACTCCAACCTTCGTAGCTTTCATTCTCATGACACTGGCTCGGTACCAACCTGGCACCAAATCAAATGCAGTAATCCCCAGCTGTTACCATTTTTAGAGTTGGTGCTTTCTGTACAAGGATATCAAAGGAATGGTAGGTTACTTGGTTAAGTAGCTCGATTTTCAAATTGATGAACAGGAACTCAGAAATCAGAGCTGCAGCATATCCAAATTGAGAGAGTTAAATTAAAAACTGTGGTGCAAATTAGTTTTCAGGTAGATTAAACAAGTGACAGTAAACTCCAAAAATGCACTTGAAACAATTGATCCTGGTCAGTTTCGCAATAACCAATGCCCTTGTAACTAAGAGCTTTTCTTTCCTTTCATATCAATTCTTTGCTGCAATCACTTCAATCCACCCCCTTGACTTTGTCCTAGCAGCGCTCACTGCACTTTTTTCCTTTTTTATAATATTTTTCTTTGGGTCTTTCAGCATACCAATAAAGCCTGCGACTCACCAACATTAGCCGATGTTAAAATCAAATAGTAAAACTACATTACACGATTTAGATAAATCAAAGATTCAACTGCAGCTGATTGGAACTCCAGAAATAACTTGGTACTCATTAGAGCTTGGCCGATAGAATGGAAGAAAAATGTAAAAAGGACAAACACGTACTTTTATTGCTTGAACTCTTAAATTGTTCCCACAATGGATGTACATTAATATATTACAAAGGTAAGGAGAATATATATATATATAATGACACAAAAGTTACAAGAGCTAGCCGAGACATTGCAGGTTTTACAAAGCTCAAATTCAATGTATTACTGCACAAAGGATCCTATGAGTAAATGGTTTAACTTATGTTTAACCAGTCAACGCTACAAAGGTGAGCTTTCCAGTTCATTTGCGAACCATGATTCACTTGTGCTGGACCGAATGACTGTCGATATCTATGTCTCTATGAATTCCAACTGAATATGTGTGCCATTCATCTTGTAATTCCAATGCCAGCTTCCGCTATTCATTATATTTGGTTCTAAAGGGTTGAGCTGGACTTCTGGACCTGTGTCAAACGAAAAGTACATTGATATTTTAATGAAATAAAAACATTCACAGTATAAAAACACCAAGAAGTTAGTGTACGCAATGCAGCTTGATTAAACTCCTCAACAAAGCAATACAAGCTGCATTTTCACCTTCAATTTACTAGCACACCTACGTCTCATTACGGTTTCCCTATACCTATGTGACCTAACACTGGACAAACCAAAAGGCACGTGCATTTTTGAGACATGTGTACTAGAGCAAAGTAACCAAAATATCTGCATCTCCGAAGTTCAGAGTTTTTTCTATAGTATAAAAGCAAATTTAGTCCTGCTTTCCTATTAGACTAAAAACTACATAACATGGCAGACTTGAGTCTTTCAGCCAAGTTCTAGAAATCAAGCACCGTACTTGGACAGAAGCTGGCATCTTGTAACACAATGAAATCCTCAGAAAGCAATATTCCAAATAGGTCTCTGCCCCTTTCACTCAGGAACAATGCCAGATGAAGAGGGAAATCATACATTCTATCTAGGGATGGCAATCTGACCCACCCCGGCGGGGCCCCGCCCAGCCCTGTTTGGGGCGGAAATGGTACCTAAAATACGCCCCGAGCGGGGCACACCCTGCCTTTTTACCTTTAAAAAGGCAATCTGACGGGGCCCTGCCCCTGCCCTGTTTGGGGCGAAGATGGTAGAGAAATTGTGCCCCGAATGGGGCACGGGGCGGAGACAGGGATGGCCATCCCCACCCCACCCTACCCCATTGCCATCCCTAATTCTATCAATAGCCCAAGAGAATAACAGTCATGTAAAACATAAACTGTATAAATACACAGTCTATTTTAATATAAAAAAGCATCACATGTGTCTGCGTGGATGCAAGAGTCAAGCATATGTATTCCTCTCGGTGTGCTTTGAATATTCAGTGACTTGGTTTTTTAACAGAAATACAGAGCAATTATGCAAGAGTTATAAGGATATCAAATGCTAGGAACCTGAACCTCCTGATGTTATCTTCATTTTGTAGCCATCTGGTATTTCAAATGTATGATTCCCCTGAATCAAAAAGAAACAAAAAAAAGTGAGCATAGCTATAGAAAGCCTTTATAATAGAATCCTAGCACGAGATACAAATCTAACAAGTTTAAAACAGAAAATCTATGGAACCAGGAAGAAGATCCATAATAATCACTGCTTCGACAACAACTGAATTCTCTATGGCCACAATATTGAGTGATGGATGAGAATTTGCAGTACTGCGCCCATCAGCTTCCAGGCGAGTGTACTTCACAAAAAGATGTAAGTAATTGCTCTTCCTTGTTATTCCATGAAATTTCCATGCATCATTTATTATGTCATTGACTCATTGAATGCAGTTTTTTAGATAAAGAAGCTGTCCTAGGCTTCATTTGTATCTAGTTCTTTGGAAAAGCTGTCCTAGAATTTGTTAGTTCGAGTGTAGACCCAGTAAGCAGGCCGTACCTCCTTGATGCCTACTTTTTAGAAATTTTCTCATATCAATTCATGTTTATATATATATATATATCGGGACAGGAGCTTTTGCTGCAGGTCCTAATCAGGGATTCTCTATAAAGTACTTTGCATCATAAGCAAACAATCCCATTAGCCAACAGAGATAGTTTTGATGTTCTCATGTCAATTAACCTGTAGGGTAACGTTGTCAGCCTCAAATTCAGCATTTCCATGCAGAATAACCTTTAATGCCTCAAACCGCTGCACATCATGCTTCCAGTATACATTGTCTCCAAAACTCCAGTTAATCCCTTTGTTCACAACTTTGACATCTTGCAGTCTACATCTTCCACACCTAGAGAAATGGTATTAAGGTCATTGAATTTCATTGCATTGTATTTGAAAATTTGGAAGAAGGCATACAAAATTTTACCTGTTCCCATACTGTAATATTGGTTCACCATTTGGATCAACCCTGGTTGAGCCCATAACATGTTCAGCAATAATGATCAAGCTTCCATCAAGCTGGAAGAGGAAAATCAGATAAGCAAAGAAAGCAATAACTCACAAGCCTTCTTTTAAACTATTAATCAGCATAATACCCGAACATTTCTCCATGAGAACTCTGCGACCTCAATTTGTAGCTCAGACCCCTTAGAAATGGATCCACCATTAAACTGGGAAAGTAAAAGAAATGAACAAAATCATGATTAGTTGGTCAACTTCGTAACAGAGAATATTAACAACAGCCAAACAGCCACACAATCACTAGCCAGAGTGATGAGGCAGAGAAAGATTTCTTGGCAAACAAGACATTTGTATGCAGTTACAAGAAATGTGTGGTAGTAAAGCTTTTGCACAATGAAAAGACCAGCAGCCACTCAGCTAGGGACATTCAACCAGATGCAGAAATAAATATTAACAAATGGATATACAAAATAGCCATCATCATATAAACAGCATCACGCACCATTCACTGCAGAATAAAGAAAGAAATATAGCCAGGCTAAGCATGACAGCAGCCACTATAAGCTTACCTTTTGTCTTGTGACCTCCCAAAGCGGGCCAAGAGCAGGATGCAGAAAAATGAGAAATGGTGGTCCATGGTCAACATATTTATCGTTACCTTCAATCTACAAACAGTAAAGATGATATATAAATGGAAAGGAATTCAAACCTTAAGTAAATGAAACACAATACGAAGGGTAGTTGAACTCAATCCATCTTAGACAAACTAGGGCTCATGCTACAGGAGGTTAAGAGAATACCTCAGGAAGCTCCATGTCACAATGTGAAAGAAGATCATAGGCATTTCGTAAGATATCCAGGAGTGAACCATCCGGAGTCTGCATACAAGCCCAATTAACAAATTAACATGAGAAGAAAATTAATCAAGTCAAAGTGATCAGCTAGATGCCACAAATTAAGATTCAAAATTTGGTATCCGAACTCAACTCAAGGAGTTGAAACACACTCTTGGAAGTTTGGAGACTCACTGAAATTTCCAACAAGGTACACAAACAAGTAGGGATTGTAAATCAAGGATTCAATCGTTGATTTATTACATGCTAATACACTTTCAACTACATAGATATTAACAGATTTAAGTCACTGATCAGTCCTCTAATGACCAAGTTCGGTCCAAGACAACCGATAATACAATAGAATACAGGTGAGCTGAGAAAATCCAGATGCTTATGGCTGTGAGATCATAAAGTGACTTCTCAAAAGAAAAATGATTGCACTAGGTTAGAAAACTAAATGCAATTAGTGGAACTTAAGAAAGAGAAGGTACAAAAAGCGCTATCGACAAACATTGAGAGAGAGGAAATAAATCCCTGTCATGGATTTGGAAAAGAACAGATTTTTTTACGCTGCTAAGAACAAGTATAGCAGCAGCCAGATATTTACAGACCTGGTGCAAGGAATTATCAGAATGTCTTCTTTTCTTTTTAGCAGATGAAGTAACCTTTCTTCGCTCATTATACACAATAAAGGTATCCAGCTTTTCTGCAGACATGTGTTAACAAGAAATTTTATTACCAAACATATATATTGAAGAACATATATGTGCATTCTATGCATCTAAAGCACATGAACACATTATATGCTGCAAGTTCAGAAAGAAAGCAAAACAATGTTCTACCTTCCACGCCCTTACAACATCTAGCTACATAAGTGTTAGTGAAATTATCTGCAATATTTTGCATTGTGCATTCCAGCCGACCACCAGAGACACTGCAAGTAAATGGCAATAAGTGAAGCAGCATCCAGGGTAAAAGTTGCTCCACTGCAGGTGGGGGTTAAATTAATTCAAAAAGAAAGATTAATATCATTAAATAGTGAATGTAATAGATCAGACAGAACTCTCTCCTCAATGTATTATCTGGAGAAACCAAAAAAATAAAATAAAAAAAAAAACACCAAAACAAAGATAACTACAGCAGCAACGTATCAGATTTCTAAGTATTTAAAAGACTCATGCCTGGGATTGACAATTGCTTTAAACACTCAAGTCCTTCTGCATATAAGTGTTTACAAAAATCAAATCCCTCACATGATATCTAATCAGATTTAGACAATTCCCTTTTTCCCTATGCTACAAAAATATGTTCATATTCCAAAATCCAAACTCTCCCTATGATGTAATTTATACATCAAAATCAAAGCATGAAAACTAATGTAGCAGTCACTCTAAAACAAAATACTAGCAATGAGACTGTCATACAGAGCACAAAACAAATTTGGTAAAAATGGAGAACCAACTAAAAAAAATCAACAAGTGAAGTATGTACCTGTGACAGTTCCCATAGTGATCCATGAATACAATTGCCTTTTTTGTATTTAGAACCATGCCTGGTAAACTTTTTTCATTGTTACTTGATGCAACTAACTCCAGAGAAGGTAAATCCACATACAGAATGTTTGTATTGGCAGGAAACTCTGCCTGCAAACTTAATGAGAAAAACAAAGTTGACAGACTCTGTCTATGAAATACTAAGCTCAAAATACATGAAAGGATGGATTCAAAGAGCAGAAAAAAGAAATTAAAAGTAAGTTGTCATAACAGGGACGAGCATATTAAAAAAATGAAAGAAAAGACAACCAAGACTGAAACACACATCATAATATTAATTTTTGACAAAACCTCACCAACGGATGCATCAAACTATAACTATATGACCATGGAACAGTATTGATATTTATTTCCTTCAAGTACTCTGTATAAGAATTCCAGCACTCCAATTGCTACCTTATCTTACAGGAAAACTGAAAAGACACCAAATTTGCTATAAAGACTCTGAGCCTACGATACAGAGATTCAATAAATCCTTAAAATCTGAGAATAAAGACAGCCACGTAGCTAATTCAAAGCACAAATAGCACAAGAAGTTATTATGAAGAAGGCTAGTACTTCCAAGGAAATGATTTGATACCCATTAGTTGGACGAGGACCACTTGTGACTCCAAACTTATCAAACTCGGTGTATTCAACACATGACAAGCCATAAGCCCACTGCCCATGAAGATTCTTCTTTTCAATAAGGACATTAATTCCTTCGGTAGCCCCTGAGTTGCGCTTACATGATGCAAACCCCAGTTTCTGTTGCATGTACAAATTGCATAACAAGACAATGAACCCCAAAAAAAATGTCAAGAGAATTCATCCAAGTACAGTACACAAGCATTCTTTAATCTAACTATAGTAACTATGCGTAAGTGTGATTTTCTTTATCATTCAAGCTCCTTATTTCCACATATGGGCATGGATGAACACAAATACAAAGTATGAAATATTTGCAGAGCCCGCTCATGAAAACAAGAGAGAATAAAAAATTCAAACTGTCAAATCTGACCCCACCTTTCTTTGGCGTAAACCAATCCCTGCCAGTGCCAAAAGGGTCAAATCCGTGGCAGCAACAACATTACTGACTTGTCGCACAGTAGCACCTTTTCTTCCATGATCATAAAACCACTTGAAGATGCCTTTGTCATAAGCAAGTTTCCAAATCACACCATGTCCACCCGGCTTGCATACAGGTGCAAATGGTTTTGTAACCACCCACTGCCCGTCTTCAGCACTAACAGCTGGAACAAGAGGCTGGCAATTCATAAATTATGCTAGTAAGCAAACACCACTAACTAGTGACAAACCCAAAGGACAAGAAAAGAAAATATAGAACATGTCTTCATAACCATATAAAACCTGTTCAAAAAGTTGGAAACTGGAACGACCTCTTCCAAACCAGCTCAGTCTTTCACAAAGAGAAGTGATACGCTTGTGGTTATTCTTAGCTGAACTTGTCATGATTGCAACAGGGGTAACACACTGTTTTCCATATATCTTGAAGTACAAGTACTCTCTAGCCTAGCAATGAAGAAAAAAATATAGATCATTGTGAAGAAGAAGCAGTTTAGAATTACAACCCACAGGTAAGAAGTAAGACATAAGTTTCTTCTTGCTGAGCATCAAAAGAATAAAGCAGAGATCTTATACCTGGAGATCTCTTATAAGACCTTCCAATAAAGTCCGTCCACAATAAGGAAGCATTGCAGCAGGAAGGCATTCGCCAGTGTCAGGGTCAACCAAACCAAGCCGGTCAGCAGAACCACCAAGAGGATAAATTTCTCCTAGATCTGGCAAACCCTAAAAGAATAAGATCTTATTATTCCAGAAAAACGGGGGCAAATTCATTGTCTCAATGGAACGATAAACTTTAGTTACTAACCTCAATTCCCCACAGAGCTGCTTGAGATGCATACTCTGTATTTTTTGAAAGGTCAAGTCCACTAGGAGAATGAATTTCCAGAAACTGGCATTCCATTGATTCTTTTATGTGCTGGGACCAATTTGTAGTCTGCTCCTTGAATGTTGACTGGAAAAGAAGTTCCAGCACCATTATCTGATATCTATGCAAGCATTTAAACAACAAACAATTTGAAGTCATTTGACACAATCAAACAGAAAAGGCACATGCGATTAAGATTCTTCATATATTTGAAATGTCTCTAGTACAAATTCTCACTCCGTATCCTCTACCCAAATCAGCAGCCCTAACATAGAACTATAATAAGCCTATGCTCCGTCCAATAATATGCAATCTAATCATCCTGGCAGGTAAAAACACTCACTCTGGAACATTTACGTAGCTAATCAGGTAACTGCCCACCTTTTCCTTAGTAGCTAAAGGAATCCATTAGTAAGCAAGTATTTTTTTTTTTTTTTAACTCACTAAGATTTGAACCTGTGACCTCTGGTTGCAAGAGACCACTAACACTCGGCTACATGCTCTTTGGTATTGGTAAGCAAGTAGTCCCCGAACTCCACATCCATCAAAATCCTAATCCCCAATATGCTAGCATCCACCAATCGCCAGCCTGATCAAATTCAATTACTCTTCTTCTAATTCTTTAACAGTATCTAAACCCTAAATGAAGAGTTAAAAACACTAACCAGCAATAATTTTAAACAACAAACAAAACAACCAATGCCATGCAAAGTAACAACCTCTATTTTCTCTCTTTCAAACATTATACATAAAATTAAAATATCTCCATTCTAACGCTTAAAAAGCATAAAGAAAACAAAAATCAAAGCAAATTTAGCAAACTCAACAAGGCAACGAAAATTTAAAGGGAGAGAGACACTTACCCAATGATACCTCCAATACAATCATAAAATTCTTCAACCTCTTTTAAACTCTTCAACAACTTCTTCAAGTCCTTAATCTCCTCATCATTCAAATTCAAACCATAATTAATCTTCTCTAAACCTTTATTACCATTATCACTCAAACCAAATCCCTCAATAATCTCCACTAAACTATAAAGCGCGCTCTTAACGGAAGTTCTAACAGACTCCACCGCTTCACACTCAACCAATTCAATTCCCTCCAAACTAATCACGTGCTCTTGACCAGCTGCAACCAAACACTTGAGAAAAAACAACTCGCGAGAGGTTAAATGAATTGAATCCAAAAACCTAGAAACTCCTCCAGTTTCAAAAAACCGTTTGACCCGTGAATCATCGTTTAGTACTGAGTGCTTGTCGTTGAGTGTTCTGGAATGTGCGAGTTTTGAACGGAGAGATTGGAGTCGAGAGATTTCTTGGTGGAAATTGAAAGAGTCTGGTGCAGGTGGCGCATACTCAACTGGCGCGGTGGATACGGGCGTGGTTTGGGACTTGGACGGAGAGGAAGGGAGAGAGAGTGAGAGTAGAGGAGGAAAAGGAGAAGGTTTTTTGAAGGCGAGAGATTTGTTGAAAAGATTGACAGAGCTAAAGGAGAAGAAAAAATTAGTTCTGTTTTTGTTGTTATAATGAAGAAGCATATTAGTTGATGATGTTGTGGCATTTGTGTTAGCCATAGCTAACAGGAAGAGAAAAGACAGAAAGTTCGAGAGAGACAAAAAGGAGGAAGAGAAGGGAAGGCAAGGGAGGTCTAGAGAAACATGGATGGAGGAGATTTTTATTTATGTTGTGTTTGAAAAGGAGGGAGGGGAGGATAATACGAGATACTGGAAGGATATGCCAAAGGGGGAAAGAGAGAGAGTGGGTGGGTTGGCTTAATAGTCAAATTAACTGTCTCGGCAAGGTACGTAAGTCTGGTTGGGAGGGAGAGAATGTGGCGCCTCATCTTTTTGTGTATCATTTTGGAGTTTTCGATTGGTTGGCTGAATTTTATTGGATGGGGATCCATGGCCTTTGCTTTCTCAGTAGCGTCCGGCTGTCTTGTCTCCTGTGGATGAAGGAAAAATTTTGGTTTGGGCTTCATACTTTCTTGTGTGGTAGACTTCCTGGACCTGGAGAGGAAGCAGAATTAATCATTTTGAATTGGGCTGGGCTCAGCTTGGTAGGGCTTGACAAGATGTCGATTTGCTCCGGACTTTGCGTTGCAAACTTGGATCTTTCCACTGGACAGAGAAATATACAAATGGGACCATTATGGCATTAGCATAAATGGGACAGGGAAGGTATAAAATGAGACCTTTTTGGAATGCAGCTGAACTGGCTTGCTGACTAAGTAGTATTTATGCAGGGAAGCTGGACACCCAACACAAGCAGAATATTCAATTATTATGTGGAAATTGGATTTTTTTTTTTTAATAAAAAGTTACTTTCATTAATGAGACAGATCAGCAGCCAAAGCTGCTAACAAGAAATTTGAGTAGGGATGGCAATGGAGCGGGGCGGGGCGGGAGCGGAGATGGCCATCCCCTTCCCCGCCCCGTGCCCCGTTCAACACGATATTTCCCATACCATCCTCGCCTCAAACAGGGCGAGCGGGGCCCTGTCGATTGTCATTCCTAAAGGCAAAAAGACGAGACGGGGCCGGGATGGCCATCTCCGTCCCCGCCCCGCCCCGAAAAATGTCTCCCCATCCCCGTCCTATGCCCCGTATGGGGTAATATTTCGCGGACCATCCCCACCCCAAATGGAGCGAGGTGGGTTAGATTGTCATCCCTAAATTTGAGGGATGTGATCCCTAACACAAAAAACCAAACGTTGAACAAGAAGCTCTAGCAAGTAAATGAGCAACTTGATTCGCTAATCTTTTAACAAACGTTACGGAGACATTCAATAAATCTTTAACTAGAGATTTGCAATCCTCAACAACGAGACCCAAGCTAGAAGACAAGATAGACCCATTCCCCATAGCCTACACAACCAATTGGACATCCGACTCCACAACCACATCCGAGATCTACTTTTCCTTTATCTAGCTCAACATCTCTCTAAGACTTAAGCATTCTACAATACCAGGATCGGAGATACCCCCGAATATATTAGAGAAAGCATCCACAACTAGCCCTTTAAAGTCTCGCATAACACAACCAATGCTCCTATAGTAAGAAAAGGAATATAAAGCAGTGAATGCGGCTTTAATTGGACCTTTTGGAATACGACTTATTCAATTATTTTCGGACGAGTTAATTTTCTTAGAGTGACAATCAAGTCAAATGATACAAATGTTGTAGAAAAAAATAAGTTTTTTAACACTCACCTAGGTGCAACCTACTCTTCGAGAAGAAGAATAACCCCCGAGGTATCAATCATATGATTACATAGATACTACTCATGTGCCATGGTACACTTATTGGTTTTCATTCATTGTTTCATTGCATATAATCTTATATTCATTGTTCCATGATTAAATCACCTTCAAGCAACTTGCGTATTCATACTCACGATCAAAAAATTACACGAAGTCTACTATCATACACACTTATAGAATATGTTCAAATGTATACGAGTTGTTATATGACCCTTGGATACATATCATTCAATCTTTATCCTTAATGCTAATCTATCCACATTTAAAGTCGATTGTATTATGACTGACGATGATGATGTCCAAATTTCATCATGATCGTAAAGTCTATTGAAAACTTATTTGGAAGCTCCGTGCATTACTTTGTTGTTTATTGAGGGTTTAGCGACCTTACAAAATACTTCCACCGATGGCTGAAAAAACTCATGAAGAATCATGTTTCCTAAATACACCTTGAAATGTTTAGAGCAACAAATAATAGATGCGACATTTTGGTTAACACTATTTTTGGAGATGATCATGACGATGCGGATGCCTCCACGTCATTATTGGAAGAAAATGATAACCAAACTACATTGTTGGAACCAATACGTCCCTCTAGGATTTTTTCTAATGTTCCTCAAACACCATCCGATTTGTGAACCCTATCCATCAAAGAAGTTCATGTGATTCCGCCTATAGCAACTCCAACAACAGACTATGGCATGGAGAGAATCTAGCCAAAATTGATGATCACCTCCTCACAAAATGGAGATTGGAATTCACGGATAAATCTAATGAATATTACAAATAGAGGTATGTTTGACAATATTCATTTATTACAACTACCATGCCTATACTGTCCGAAAAAAACAATGGGAAAGTAGAATATAACTTGAATGATATTTTATTTTGGTAGTAATGTTTTACACAACAATTCCTCTTTTTAAAATACTCGTTTCATTCAAAGCCACTCGACCGGAGATGCTACAACCACCTCAAACAAAGAATTTTCACTCTTTGACCAAAATTGTAGGCACCCTCCCTTGCTTCTAAAACGGACATACATGCCAAGGATGCAAAATAGAAGTAGAAAATGGTTCCGGAAAAAAAAAAGTCAACTTTTGGAATTGGATAACACAATTAAAATATTGATTTTTTCTAACATTCATGGAATAATTCATGTTACAAACTCGATCTTGTCTAAAATACTTGCACTAATATACGACAAAGCTAATGTAATCGCATTATTGTTCAACTATGTTTTCCTGTTTATTGACTATTGAATTGCATAGTTAATATATTAATCATTTTGGCCAACTTAATCGTATATATAGATGGTAAGACATAAACTTCCAATTTATGTTATGTGAATTCCTAATGAACATATTATCTACTGTGCTTGATGAATTGAATTTATGCAAACCGAAATTCATTTTATTCAAAATAGCCTTCAAACAAAACGATAAGTTTAAAGAATTTCAAATTTCAACTTATACTATTAAGCGTTTTGGATTTCAAGTTTTTGTCTTCATTTCGTTGGATAATATAGTTATACTATAAACTCCTTTAGTTATTTTAGCATGAAAAAAAAACTATGAGATGAAATGATCAACTTAATAGCATATAAACAATTTATTCCCATGCTTAGTTCCCTCTCTATTTTTCTAATATATGCACACCATTATATGTCTGCTAATAAGAATAAGTTATGCGATACATGCAACTTCCGGAGGTTATAACAAAAAATAAAAGAGGTCTATATAACTACTTACTCGTGATTATAGACTTACAATTGAAGGCTTGAAGACTATTATCTATTTACGAGCCTAAAGGAAAAGTTGTATTTTTTTTATCAACATTGTGGTTTTTGTATTGATGCTTACTCTACTACAACCTATTATTAACTTTGACTTGAAAACCGAGTTTGGTAGCGTTACTTCTCAATCTCTTTGCATGATTAATGATTGTGACCTACCTACATTCTACATTATTAGTAATGCCTTCCATGAATTGGCGATTGACGTTCATGTTTATAGCCATTTGTGTTCTCAAATTGTTAAGCTAAAGGAACCATGGAAGATAACAAAAGAGAAAGACAAAGCATGGATTTAGACTTAGTCATGTTATAGTTTATACAAGAAGGATAGTGGGTTGAAAGCATATGAAACTAATAAATCTTCGTATATGTAGCGATGGTAGAAGGTAGGTGAATGACACTTATCGTTTTTTACTTTCACATGAACTTTTGGTTCTAATGTGTTACACCCAATAAAGTGAGGTAGGGCAGGTGTAATTGAGCTTGGAAAACACAATCCCATGACAGAAAAGAGAAAGAAAAGACCAAGAAAAGTCAACTTAAAAGCTAGCCAAATAAACAAATTAAAATAATATTTATGTTTTTCAAAATACAAATGTTGGTATTTGCTTTAACTACTATAAAGATACTTTGCATTCTTATTAGTTAATGGACATGAGAATTGCAAAAAAGAAAAGAAAACTAATCCATTTAAGACCCACTCATCCGTAACTTATACATGCAAGGTGGTAAAAAAAATGACATACTCGTTCCGATCTATAAAAAAGACGCATTATAATCAATTATCAATTACTACCCTACCAAGCTATAGCTTATAGCTACAAGCCATGCCAAATATTGCAAGCACCTCTCTCGCCATCTCATTTGCAAATACATTACAAGATCTTAAAAGCTTTTTAATGTAACAACATGTCGCCCAACAACCTTTCAACATAAACAATCTTTCACCCTATCTAAAAACATAAAAATAGCATATTTAAAACTCCAACTAGTTAAATAATATCAAAAACGAGTAATTTCTTGATCCTATGAAATATCATTCCTTATTAGCTTTTCTACCAAATGCAAGGCAAATTAATGCTTTCAATTATTTTCCTAAATTCATTGACAAGAAAGAAAGAAAGAAAGATGGGCATTTTGAGTTTGGTTAGGATTTGAGGTGTGGAGAAATACCTTAAAAAAATCATGAAAATTGATATATTGATCCCTTTTAATAGAACAAACGAGGAGCCACGGGTAATCAAATATATAAAGGAATCAAATACCACAATGTAGATATAGTCGTTAAATTCTAGTCGGTTTTAATTAATCTTAACACCACCATCTTCGAGGGTAGTTATGTAATTTTAATGAATTTTTTTTCTTTTTCTTTTTTCTTTTAATTTTTTCACACGACAAATTAGTTTGATGTGTCATACCATATGGAATTTTTTCCATCAACTCGTCATTTTTATCAAAAAAAAAAATAGCCAAAAAATAGTTGGAGAAGCCACATTAGGAAAAACTCGAAGAATCGAGAGAGGAGTTAAATAAAAAAAATGGGTTTATTGGTCCCTGTATAGTTTTAATTTTTTTGATCAAAACCTTCTATTGTTTTTTTTTTAACTTGATTAAAACCCTCTACTCTTATAGATTTATTGATTCGGACCATCCGTTAACTTTTTATCTAACATAGCATGTTAAAATTAATGGTAATCAATCACGGATGGACACATGACATAATGGGTCCCAACTCTAATAGTATACATTTAAAATTAAAAAATAAAATAAAAAGTTTTTATTATTAAAATACTATTTAGTATTTAAAAATAATTAAAAAGGACCACATTGTCCCCACACCCATTATCTTTTTCACTCGTAACAATCTGGACAACATCCTTTGAAACTCCTTGCTTTGTTTAGTTGTTTAATATTACTGCTAACAATCCCATGAAATTCCTATAACAAGATACATCAAATCCAATGAAACTCTTACTTTGTCTCAAAGGGAATGCTAGGGTGAGCATAACTAGGTCCTTTTTCCCTAAACATTCAATTATCAATTCCAACTAGATCCAAGACTTGAAGAAGAGGGTTGAGTCCACTCCTTTCGACAACATCATTCCCTTAAAAAATGCATTCATCATATTGTCCATTATCATGTTCACCTCAAGTTTTATTTTCATTCCATTTCTAATTTGCCCCAAGAAGAAAGACTTATTCCACGAGACATTAAAAGCTCGGAATTGCTTACTCATACAATTCCTTATCCTCGATAGCAAGGATTACTAATCGACCAATTTTCGCGAGTCGTTTGCTACCTAACTCGAGAGCCTTAAAGAAGGCATTGCCACTTTGATGTAATTGTCTTGCTGATCTTGGAAAATGTTTCGGGATCAACTATGGACATGTCAATATAATCTTTTCCATTGCTAATTTGCTTAAGTACACCATCTTTATCAAAAACCATCGAAAGAGCGAAGTAGGATTGGACAATATAGCAATAGTAAGTTTGAATTTGTTGACTACTTGTGCGAAGTTTCTTTGATTGATACACCAAACTCCACTAGTTCTTTATACTTGGAGAGAGTCCTATTCCGGATAGTGACCTTGAAGCCATTTTTAAGCAAATGCATGGACATGACCTTTCCCTTTATTCCTAACCCCAAGAACCCTATTTCCATTTTCCTCTCTCTCTCTTAAAATTCAGAACTTGCATAACATCGGTCGAGCCCAATCTTCCACTGCCATAAACCCACATTTGTAAAACACTATAGCCTTGACCTCCTCGACATTGTCTTTGCACAACTCCAACCGAGCCCACTCTTCCATTGTTATAAATCCACAATCTCGAAACACCATAGCTTTGAAAACCTCTTTAGTGCCACCGATCTTCACCGTCACTTACCCAAAAACCTTACCTCGCCAATATCCCAAAACCCTCACCCATTGAAACCACCTTCGACTCCAAAAACCACAACCTCTATAACTACAAAACGCCCTTACCCTAGATTGACTTTCCGAAGTGGGTTGAAAATAATAGAAGGTGGGGTTGTTTTGGTCTTTTATTATTTAAATTAGTTTTAAATTTAATTTTTTTATTTATGATAAAGACATTGTTATTTAAGACCCATTAGGCCACATGTCAATATATGATTGGTTGTCAAGAATGGTAACATGCCATATTGGATGAAAAATTAACGGAGTTATAATGAAGGGTCTAAATCAATAAATTTTTAAGAGTAAAAAGTTTCAATCAAACTAAAAAAAAAGTCAAAGTTCTCAATAAAAAAAATCTAAGTGTACAAGGTTTGAGTGTGGGGTAAACCCTAAAAAATATTTATATAGGGGGCCACATTAGGAAAATCACACGAGTAGAGGGACGTTTGATGCGATTAAACCTCATTTTGATTTCTTATTCATCATTCTTGTTTCCGAACGAATTTGACGAAGTAATGATCTTCAAATTATGATTGTTCACGATATGACTTATAATTCTAGATTGATCGTGTGATAGTTCCAACTCAATGAATGTTGATTTGATGACACGTATCTACAAAACAAGTATTCTTCTAGTAGTTAGAGGACTATTCGTTTGTTAAATTAGCTTACAAAAAGATGTGTTTAGTCCAAATAGGTTGTTAAGAGATTAATTTTGTGAGTAGATAATAGCGAGATGATATAATTATTTTGAGTTTAAAAGGCATAACCTTTAACTTTTGGCGTGGTAGTTTATATATTAAAAAATATAATGATTATATGAGATAGAGATAGAATGATATTTTTTAATTTTTTTTAATAGTTTCTTGCATCTATTTGAGAAACACATATCTTTTACGCTCACAATTGATCATTAAATGATTGGAGAACTCTTATAGTCGTAGTTGATAGGAATAAAACTATTTAGAAGACATGTCTCTATTTAATAATGAGTGCATAACCATTACCCCTGCTAATGGTTGAGAATGGATATAAGATTAGATTTTTTCCCCATGTGTCATTAACAAAGAGACTCATTGTTTTCTTGAATATATCACTATCAGAACTTAAGTACCTATTTTGAGATACCGCACACCCAAGGCAAGCAGCACATTTTTTTTATTATGAATGAAGCAGTTAAATTTAATCTCTTATCATTTTGATTTCTTTTATGTTGTACTAGTTAAAATTAAGCACCGAAAGAACAAGGTCTGTCACCAAACAAACATGGATTCATGGATACTTACCCCTAACGATGCCGTGACTGGGAAAATTGGCACCGGTGTCTTTGCTTCCGAAAGTAAAAATAAAATAAGAAAGAAAGAAAAGTACAGTTAAGAGGAAACTTTAAGGATAAGAGAAACGGAAGAGCAGAGAGTCAGACGGAAGAACAAGGCCTCCAGAACATCAAAAGAGACTCCTTGGCCCTTGCACCGACTACAGTAAAGGTGCTGTTGGTGTGGACTGATTGGAGGAGATTTCGGGAATTTGATTTGGGCTCTGTTTGGGTTGGGCTTGCATTCGTTTCCAGGAAAAATTTTCCGTTATTATTTTTAGCATCTATCTGCCAATCTATCTATTTATTAAAAAAAAAAAAAAATCCATTATGTACTATGGGCCAAGTCCACTGCTCTCAAACATGAGAATTGTCTCTGAGCCTTCCTTGAAAAAGGAGGATTAATTTAATTTTTATTTGTATTTAACATAAAGCAAGTTTGCTCGGTCTAGTTTTAACGGATAAGGAAATTATAATTAATCAAATAGACAATGAAATTATGATTTTTCGACCGTCCTTTCAGATTAAATTTTATATTCCCGTCAATGGCTAATTCAAAACACATTCTATGTTGACAGGAGAATGGATACAAGTACTTCCCTGTCCAACTCTCCTGGATATGAGAATCTAAAGATGTTTTAAGCACTCCATTGGTATATTTCTCTTTCTATTAGTAGTGGAAAGTTAAATTAAATAGAAGATTAGAAGCTCCATCACAATGTCTTTGCTCCATTAGGAAATTCTAGTGTTCATTTGTCAAAGCTCATCTGTCTTTTCTATTTGTGAGTATTTGCAATCGTCAATGCCTTCTAGCCTGGTATGTAAACTTGATTGCTGAATCATCATCCTAGCTAGCTAAATACTAACCACTTTTTATTTATTATTATTATTATTTTGAGAATACATAGCACTTTTGTAATCAAATAAGAGGCCGATTGGGACCAATTGGACATATGTGAAAAATGAAATGCTATGCGTAATATTATAAAGAGCTTATGTGTTGATTAACACTTAATATTTATCAAATTATGCTCTGCATAGCTAGGATTGTATAGACTTTTTTTTTTTTTTTTGGTTCGATATATGCTATAGGTCCAGTTCATAAATAATCTTAGTGCGACTCGTGAAGAAATTAAATAGAAAGCATACTATTGTAAACCTAAAAAGAAAAAGTTTCTTGTTTTGTTTTTTCTGTTTAGTCAAGACATAAATATAAAAGAAAAGGTTTTTTTTTTTGTTTTTTTTTTTTTTATGAGAGAGAGAGAGAACAACTAGAGAGAAAAGAAAAGAAGATTTTTATTTTTTTATTTATTTTGTTATTCTTTTGATGAATTTTATAGGAAGAAAGCAAAGATTTTCTGAGCACAGAATAATAAGATCCAAGATGGTAATCTCACGTAGTATTGAGCCTTGTAAAAATATGTAGATTTTGCAAATTTTAAATTTTCATGATGAGATAGAAACTAGAGAGATAATTTATATTACTATCAATATTTTTGCTTCTCAAGTTCATAAAAAAAAAAAAAAAAAAAACTTGAGTGATTGTATTGTTTTCTTGATTATAGTGAATTATTTTAGAGTTGATCCCATAATTTTTACCTTTATAATTGAGAGGGTTTTATAAGTAAATTTAGTGTTCTCTTGGTCGTGCTTTTATGAGATTTTTTTATGCTCTTGATTATTTTTTGTGCGTGTTTTGATTGATAATTATTTTCTCATGAAATCTAATTCACATGAAGTAAGATTAAATTCTCATCGATTGTATTAGAGCTTTGGTTACAATATTTTTTGTAAATTAGATGAAAAAAATAATTTAGAAAACATGATCAAATTGATGACTTCAAATTATTCGATGTAGAAGCTAAAGATGGAGGATTTACTTTATTATTATTTTTTAAAAAATAAAAATTCCTTGAATTAGTTAAATCCAAAACAAGCTGCCAAGACTAATGATACTTGAAAAAAAGAGCATAAGGAAGTTATTGGAGATATTAGACGAGTAGATAGCCGAAAGTGTATTTCACCACGTATTAAAAAAGATAGGTACTAAAAAATTAAGGGTGAAATTAGAGAGTATGTATGAAAAAAGACTATACGGAATAAATATTCTTTGATTAGAAAGCTTATAAATTTAAAATACAAAGATAAAAGCTTTGCTATTGAACACTTGAGTGACTTTTAAGATTTGATTAATTATTGATAACCATGAAAATAGTGATAGATGATGAGTTACAAGCACTATTGCTTTTTGAATTTTGCTAGATAATTGGGAGACTTTGATTGTAATATTTGATAATTATATTCGATTGGTGTTTTGTTGCTATCCTAGTTAAAGATAGTTTGTTCAATGAAGAAACAAGATGAAACAAAGTGATATCAAATGTTGTACCAGCTCTTGTCATAAAGAACGAGATAAATGAGTGGAAATAGAGAATTTAGTATAAACAATAAGTCTACATGCAAATTACAATCCAATGACGAGTTTTAAATATTATCACTATGTAAGAGAAGGCCACATAAGAAAAATTGCAAGACATGAAAGAAAAAAATAAAAAGATTTGAAGAATTAGGTTGAAGATAATGAGAACATGACAACATTATTAACTTCAAATTAGGATGTGGTGGTGCTCTCATATGGAGAAGATAAGTGTAATGTTATAGATCCTTGTGTTCAATGAGTTTCGACTTAGCGATTGCATATCATGTCACTTCTAGAAAGGAATTATTTATTGTGTAAAAAAAAAAAAAGAAGACTTTGGCGAACAAAAATTATCCGGTATTCTAAAAATTGGTGATCTATTTATAAAAATATATACATGATGTATACTATTTTTGAAACACGTGGATGCATGTACCACATTTATACTTGAATCTAATTTTTACTCATGCCTTGGACATTGCGGATATTACAATCATTTTGGTAGTGAAAGATAGAAATTCACTAAGGAATAAATAGTTGTTGCTAGAAGTAATATTTGAGATAAAGCTGTAATTGATCAAACTTAAGAAGAGTTCAAGTAGATATATCACTTCTCCAAAATTGTAGTCTAGATGACAAGTTTAAGTGAATGAAAAAGAATTGTCACATAAGTATTGTGTTACTTTTGCCAAAGAAATTGCTATATATAAGGAAGTATTGAATGAAGAATATAGAATTGATAATGAGCTAATAAATGATAATAATGATGATAATAACATAGAGAGTGCTAAGAGGGAGTAGGACCCTCATTTGAAAACATAAGGGCTCGGATGAATAGGTCTACTGATTAGTATTATTTTTTTACCAAAAATTTCAGTTCTAATGTCATATTGACATATGAAAGGGAGCTAATTAATAGTTTTTGTAATATTTTAACTTATGATAAGGGTTAAGAATCAAAGTTTAATGGCTTTGTGAGATGATGGAGAAACAATTGATAAAGTTGAGAATAATTTTCTAAGTTAAAAATCTTACTAACTTGTTAACAAAATTAACGAGCACACGAGAAGAATGGATTGTGTGCTAGTATAGCCGACATAAACTTTAGATAACGAGTTGAGATTTTTTTTTTTTTTTTTCCAGAGTTGAATAGAGAGATTTGATGGTTGTCTATTATAAGTTTAGTCCATGAGTGATTTTTTTCCTCTTTAGCCAAGACATGCATATAAAAGAAAGGGTTTGTTTGGTTTCTTTTTTTTTTTTTTAAACAATTGCCAAAAGAAAGCAATTAGAGAGAGAGAGAGAGAGAAGAAGACAATTTTTTTTTCATGAATTCTATAGAAAGAAATTAAGGATTTTTAATGTACAAATTATTGAAGTTTTTTCTCGCATTGATTTTTTAATACTACAATCATTGAGAATTACATTGTTTAAGATGATGATCTCATGCAATAGTAAGCTTTGTAAAAACACGAGAGATTTCATAAATTTTAAATTTTTGTAGTGAAAGAAATTTAACGAAAGAGATAATTTCTATGATTTTTGTTTCTCAAGTTTGTGCAGAAACTTGAGTGATTGTTTTCTTTTCTTAATTATAGTGGATTATAATAATTTTTCTCTCTACAATTCTTGCCATTAATTTATTTTATACTCTTAATTATTATTTATATGAGTTTGAATTGATAATTATTTTTTCAAAAAATCTAATTTAGATTCCTAATAATTTTAAAGTGCCAGCTCCAAATCACTCCATGTTGACCATATATATATATATATATATTCGGCCTTCAAAAAATGCCATCAAACACATGTTGGCAATACGGCACTGAAACTAGCATATTGATTTAAAATTTTTAATTACCACGTAACTGGGCAGATGGTGCTCTGTAAGCTTGTTAGACGCAGATGGTGCTTTGTCTGTTGGTGAAATTTTTTTTAAGGTCTTCGACCAGTACTTTGTATGCTAATTTTCTCTCTCTCTCTGTTTTTTTTTTCAATTGTATATTGGTACATACATGATCTATTCATACATTTGGTAGGAAATATTGCATTCTTTGCATCCATACACATAAATGAAGTTAATTGACCGTAGATATATATATCCAAAAAGAACTTGAATCTGAAAGTTCAGACATAATGAATCTTCTTCTTTGTCGCAGAAACCAATCCCTTAAGACATTTGCTATTTAATTTGTATCATATTTAGCCTTTTTTTTTTTTTTTTCAAATTATACCAGAATAACATATTCGGAAATTCTAATTAATGCAAAAACCTATTTGGGAATTCAAATTGATGCTGTCATGTTGCATCATCATTAAGCCAACAATGCTGAGTCCCTTTAATTGGTAGATTCAAGATTTATTATACATGGTCATAAATAATAAAACATCAGTGTGTGCGCATGTCTATGCACCCGAGCTTCAAGAATTAGACTTTAATATAAACTAAAAGATAGAGAGAATGTTTGCAAATTAAGAAAAATATAAGTATGTTTTTGGTTACAAGAAAAATCTTAATTAAAGTTTTTGAGGAAAGGTGTTTTTTGAAAAAAAAACTATAAGTAAAATAACTTAGTGTTCTGTAGAGGTGCATGTTTTCAGTTGACCCTGAAACAAATCCTTAATTACTTTTACAAATTTTAGGTCATACTTCAACACAAAGCAAATAAATTTAATATAAAAGGACTGGTTTAAGCGAAAAAAAAAACTTTAATCATTTAAATAAGTTGTTTCAAATTCGAGTTTTTGTGTATATTGAAAACTTTTTGGATAGCTGAGTCAAGATACCCGAAAATTCAAAAAAAAAAAAATAATAATAAATTTACCAATAATAAAATAGAAAAAAACTCAATTGATATCATTTTTCTATTCTTCAAAAAATATCAGATTCGAAGCTCTCTTTTATAATAATTAAAAAAACATATAATACTGTCTTGGGTGTGTGTATGATTTGGGATAGAAGCTATAGTTTTGGAAAGAAAAACCACTTTTAAATTTAACACTCCTTCATTAATATACCCGTTTAATCACAAGTTATGTTTTTTTTTTTTTTTTTTTTTTTTTTTTTTTTTTTTATGTGTGTTAGCCAATTTCTTAATGACTGTCACAAGGTTTTATCTAATAAAACGTGTCGAATTTCATTAAAAAAAAAAAAAAAAATCCCATATCCTTAACTATCAATCACAAGAAATTTTTTTTTCAATCAATCAACTCGATACCCAAAATCAAATCCCAAGAGATTAGAAAAGAAAATCCAAATAAATTACCTTCCAAGGAAAACACATTCAAGCATTAAATACAAGGAAAGAAAGCTACATGCTTGAATGCAGGATGATAACTGCGACTGCTTATCTTTCAATATCCAGCATTTAGTTTTATTACAGATTTTGTATTCCATTCTTTTATACTCCAGATTCGTTCTACAAATAATTAGTTTCTGCCCAAAACCTGCAATTATGATTTGATCTCGCTTACCGTTTAAGCAAACTTAGGCTGCTGAAAAAGCTTAAGATATAAAAGCATGGAATTGCATAACGTTATTTCTTAACGAAAAGATCATTTTGTTCCAAGTTTGATCTTGTGAGATGTTAAAAATGTCATCAAACTCAACAAAATTCTTGCATTTATGATTATCTGAAAAACCAATCACTTCCAAACGGCAAAAGTGGAAACTAAAGTTGCTTGCTGACTGGGAGCAGACTTATATATATATAGTTCCAGCAAAAACAAAGTAACTAAAATCACCAAATAAGTGTTGGGCTTGAATTTTAATATTCCATTACTTAAGAAGGTGATTGGACTCAAAGAAATAACATAATTTTTAAAAAAGTTCTTAACAACAAAATATATATATATGGATGTTAATTAAATTGTACATGATTTCTATCTAGTTAAAAAAGAAATATATGTAATGTTTAAATTTTTGTTTTCTTTTTTAACTTAAACTATTTTTTTAATTTTTTAATTTTTTAATTTTTTTTTGTTATCAATGAAAGAAACTCATGTTCAAATAATTTGTTACAAAAATCTTAAGTTTAAATTACACCTAGAATAGTAATTTCAATTTCAATAGTACAACAATATATTACCAAACATTTATGTGATTTTAGTTTCAATACAATACAACAGTTTATAATCAAATAATTTAATATGTTTAATCTTATAATACAGTACAACATTGTAATGCACAACATAACACAATAATGCACAACATAATATTTGTAATAGGATCAAACATTTATTAGATTTTAGTTCCAACACATCATAACAGTTCATAATCAAATAGTTTAGTATGTTTAATCTCACGACACAATATATTATTGTAATACAATCATAACACAATAATGCACAACATAATAGTCATAACGAGACCAAACAAGCTTCTATGCAACACAACAATCATAACGAGACCAAACAAGTTCTTGAAAAATGTTTAATGTAGCTACAATGTTCTGTGGATGAACATAATTAAAAATAATTTGTTTAATTATTGTATGCATAATATTGTAATGCACAACACAACAAAACAATGCACAACATAATATTCATAATAAGGCAAAACATTTATTTGATTTCAGTTTCGACACATCAAAACAGTTCATAATCAAATTATAGTTTAATATGTTTAATCTCAAGGCACAATACATTATTGTAATTCAATCACAACACAGCAATGCACAACGTAATAGCCATAACGAGACCAAACAAGCTACTAAACAACACAACAATAATAACGAGACCAAACAAATTCTTGAAAACTATTTAAGGTAGCTAAAATGTTCTCTGGATGAACATAATTAAAAATAATAATTTTAACTTTATCCAATATATATCAAGGATTACAAGAATCCAGAGAAAATGTTTAATATATATAGCTACAAGCTACATGATAGATAAAACTATTAAAGGTTTTAAATCCTAATGATTTGAGTAGTTCAATACCATTTTCATTGTTTTTTCTTTTCAAGGTAGCTAATCAAGCCGTAGTTGCTAAAAACATTCGAGACCTATGCATATTTACTGATCAGAAAACAATACCCAGAACCCAATGTGCATATTTTGTAACGCTAAAAATATTCATCTAGTCATTGGTAACCCCAAACTGAAGCCTACAGCTATCTTGTGATTTTGCCTACAAAACAACAAAACCAACAAAAGAAGATCAAATAATGACTACTATTCCCTGGTATTCAAGTACATGATATTATCATTAAGCATATATATTGGTCCTGGAAAAGTAAGTACTTCAAGATCTCACTCAGAATTGTCCCATTCATAAAGTCAGATCTAGAGTACTTGCCATCCTTGCATGCTTCCTACTTCCATCTCGTTCCATCGATCTGCCAAGCTTTGAGTATGAAGATGAAGACAACGAAAGAGACAAACTACCATCAACTTCACGGTCCTCCACACACTTTTCAAGTTCATCATCATCTTTTGTTGCTAACTTCAGTGACAAGTTCAACTCCAAGTTGCAATCTGAATCCGTAGTAGTCTTTCTCTTTAAACCTTTTTGCATTTCTTGAACTGTTCTCCACTTTTTATTGGCGGAACTAGTGATGTTCAAACATTCCACTTGATCCAACCCTGATCTCTCTTGCAATTTGGTTATGAAGTTTGATTCCATTGATCTATGTCTACTTTCGTTCTTCCGGGATACTTGAAACAACTTGACTCCTTCAAGAGATTGATGTGTTCTACTGGCTGCTTGCACATTCAAGGAGGGAATGTTGATGCTCGAATCATAATTAAGTGAATTGTGATTGTCGCATCCAGTTACTAGTCTTTCAGCCACTGAGCCATAAAGTCCGTGCTTGGCTCTATTGAGAGTAGTTCCTCCCATATAAGCGCTGTACATCTGGTGTTCATGACCTCTCCAAGACGCATCTCCGTATCTTGAAGGAAAAAGAACAGAGAGAGAGAGAAATAGATTGTTAGGATATACCAATTAGAATCTGAATTTGGTTGTTGGAGTAGGAGTGCGGAGAGTTCATATTTCCATACCTTAAATTGCAAGAAGATCTTCGATTGAAATTTTGTAGCATGGGAAGCTGGCTAAGGTTGTAGATATGGTGATCCCCGCCTTCAAAGAAAAACTCTTGGTCTGTCAATAGTATCTCCTAAAGTCAGAGAGAGGACAAATCCCCAGCGAAACCCTAATGCTCTCTTTATTTGTACAGGAAAGGTTACTTCTTTGATAAAAGGAGAAGGATTAATAATTACCTTGATTGGGATCATCAGTCCTCTTGCTTCTGTACATCTAACCAAAAAATACATAAAATTAGGAAAATCAGGCTAAATACATCAGTAAAATTTGTTAGTTAATCAGTGCATAAGTAAACTTATGTAATAGCTAGCATAGATCAAAATACCTGAAGATGGCTTTTGACATGAGCAATGCTAAGGCCTTTAATGTTCATCATCTGAAGAACAAGCTTTGGTGTTGCTCCTGCACATATCAATAAAATTGCCACTATCAGAAGCAAATTCCTCTTAGAATTCCAATTAGTAATTGAACAAGAACAGACTCAATATTCGTCCTGATGAGGTCAATAAAATAAAATAAAATAAAATAAAATAAAATAAGAATAAGAAAAAAACGGAACAGGAGTATTAATTAAGTACTAACTGTCTTGTCCTCCTAGTCTTTCAACTGCATGAACAAAGCAAAGATGAAGATCCGGCGTCCACCGAAGCCTTGGCATCTTAGAACGAATATATTGCCGTACAGATCCAGTAGCTGCCTTCTTTTCATTTTCTTCAACTGTGCTGTTGCTTGTGCTCTCTCCTTCAATTTTGGATTTGAGACTAATTTTGTCCACCTCCTCCTCATCACCCTCATCTTGTTCAACTTTCTTGTTAGAATAGCTTGACTTGGAGCCTTCAAAACTATCACTTCCCTTCATCTTTCTTAGCTTAGCTTAGCTGTCTCCCTTATCAATTCTATGTGAATGATCAAGAAACAGTGATTAGGAATTTTAGTGTCGTCTAGGTGTCTTATAAAATGACTTTTGATGTTTCAGTTTCATCTCTCTTACCTCAGGCTGGAGAAAATGGGGATTAATATTCTTTTGGAATAAAATCAGATAAGCAATGGCAATAATATTTACAAGACTTGGAATTCAAAAACCCTAGACCTTGACATATGGAGAATATATAACTATAGCTAGCCCTTTCACCTGTCTTGCTAAGAGCTAGTCTACTTTTTTATCCAGCTTATTTATGACATACATGCATTATTTGGTTTGTCATGCATTTATTAAATACTATGTATGTATGGATGAATGATGAAATATATGTGTGGAAAAGGACATTTAGCATACATAATAGGGTGGATATGAAAATAAATAAATAAATAAAAAGCTTGGTATATAATTTGTATATATGCGACGTATACGATACTCTCTTTTATATATATATATATATATATATTCCTTTTTAAGGAGGTCCCTTATACTTTAGGTATATGATAAAAATAACCTTTAATTTCCTTATATCTTCATTCACATATCCTAAACGCAGACCTTTAATTTCAAAAATACTTTCTATTCATCAAATTTTAATTAAAAAAGAAAACAGCAAAATTTTGAATATGACTTTAATGAGACTTCCACGACTGTCTCTCTCCACGCACACATACTTTTTGTCTATGGTATAATTAAGTTACTATCTAATTTGACATATAAGTAAAGTTTACTACTTTTAAAACAAAATAATTACTATATCTAAATAATTAAGTAAACATTTATTAATCATCTTTGTTCATTGCGGATCGAGACTCAATAAATTGGGACTACACATGATACATTGAAATACATATTTCTATCCATTAAATTTTTTACCCACTCATGTTTTTCTATATCAATTTGGATCTCTAATGCACAACGTAATAGAATTTCTATGAACATATTTAAATGGGTTTTTCGATCTATGGCATTCTCAAAGAAAAGGTTTTGCTCATGACCAGCTTGTGACTAGTAAACTGAGGAATAAATTAACTAATTAACTCTAAAAATACGTGCATGTGTGCAAAAAAGAATATTGTAGCTCATCAATGGAGGATATAGCCCTATCAAACTTTCCTGGCCTGTCACTCATCAGTCATCACACCCAAAGTAACTTAGAAAAATTGCATGCCTAACTATCTTTCCATCGAGAATCACGGATTTTGTCTTTGTCTCTATCGAAGACTGCTTACCACCGCTCCCATGTCAACAACTCTTTCGTTCCTCTTGGGTCTTTCTGTTCCTTGAGTGGATGCATCATGCATGGATTCTTAGAGTTAATTTGGAATAATATGGCAAGAATATCGTAACAAGAAAATGAGCGTGTAACATATATTTACGTTTTATTCATTGATAAAACAAAAAATGACATTTTTTTTTTTTTGTGCTTTACATGATTGCTCTGATGATGAATATGTCTTGATGGGGTACCCTAAACACAAGAATCTTCGTGGAATTTAAACATAGTTTCTTGGGCATCAAATTTGATTTTAGATAGTAAGTCCTGAAAATCAAAAGAAACTAATTTGGAAAAAAAGGGACCTTAATTTCACTCTCTTCGTCCCAAGTTAAAAGAAACTAAAAATAAAAAAAGAGGGGGGGGGGGGGGACTGCGAGAAAATTTTATCTCTCTATTAATTTGCATGACCGAGAGCCATTAATTTGTGTTAAATTTTTAAGTTGCGGTGAATATCTGCATAAGTATATACTATTTTATTTTTCTAAGGAAGAGGTATTTAAACTTTTGGCCTAACTAGTTTTTTCGGGGTTAAGCACCCATAAAGAGATAGTCTAGATGATTGCCTAAAAGCAAGGGGAGCACATGAAGTTTTTAAAGGTACAGCAAAATGGGAATCCTGCTCCCATGAGATATCATATCGGCATATTCAAATTTCAACCAACTGATTCCGTCGAGTTGATTCAAGTTGTTTTCAATTTGAAGATCTGAAGCTCTAGTTGTGTTACTTGTTTGTTAAAAAAAAAAATGATATATTTACATCTTATTAAATTCATTTAAAGAAAAATCTTAAATTTTAGTGTTGATATAAATACATTGGAAGTGGTCTCCCCAAATCCTTAGATATGAAATTAATACATAACATTCCATATCTGTTTAACTGTAAAAGAGAGAGAGCGAATCCCAGTCGAATCACCATACTGGGTTTAGTGATTGTGGTTTATTGTGGAATCATCCTATATAAATTAGTAGCGATGTATATAGGTGAAAAACTCAAGACTTAGAGCAGTGTCAGATATGGATTTGGCCTGGGAGATAGTTTAGGGAAATACTGAAAGTCATGATCATGAAATGGGTATCAAAGTTAAATTCCCGATGCAAATATCTAGGTTAAAATATAACTAGCTAGACAAAGCTGGGAACCATAGTTCCAAGAAACTTAAGGAATGCTGGGTCGCTGACTAATTAAGAAACAGTTTATTTTGGATGCTCTCCATATATATGACCTTATGGTGGCATGCATGGGCCAGCAATTGAAACTTGAAAAGAATATTAAACTACAGGATGCAGATGCATTGGTGGGGAGAGGAACTAAATAAGACCCAATTAGATACTAGAGCTAGCGCGCAAGTCTGAAAGGACGATAACGTTTTAACGAAAGCCTTGACTTCGATCTTACCTTCATTCAAAATGCCATGGACCCCATAAATATTGAAAGGGGAGGGGAAAATTTTAGACTTTGGCAGCAGTTTGATGCGGTCAACAATAGAAATGATTAGGTAGACTTGGTCTATTATACTATTCATAAACTAAATTAATAAAAATAAAATACCACATTACTCTTAGTAGTTTTATGATCGAAGACGAACCGGCTTTTGTCATTTATGTTGATTTTTAATTTGTTAGAAATGAAATAACTTTGAAAAAACCATCAATATCTCCCCTGTAAATCAATTTGACAAATTAGCTCTTGCGTGCGAAAAAAATCCGGTCAAAATTTACATTTTGTTTGCATAATTTAGTCAATTCAACCCAGCTGGATTAAATTGCATTAAATTGTAGGATCACTTCCAATTAAAATTTTAGAACTACTTAAGAAATGGAAAACAATTAATTCTTTTAGAAAATTAATTTTTTCAGGAAATGTTTTTGGAATTAAAGAAGTAATATTTTTCAAAATAAGTTTTCGTTAATTTTAAGAAATAAATAAAAGTGACAATACTTAAAAAATGTTTTTTTTTAAATAATTCACAAATATTATAATTTATGAAAAGTCTGAAATTTCGAAAAAACTAAAACTTTTTTTAATCAATCTTAGCTTTTTATTTCAAGAAGCAATTTCCCTCCATCTTAATTCTTAAAATGTTTTATTTCCCACTAAAAGTTGCCTCTTTCTTTTTCGTTCCCTAAATTTCCTTTTTACACTTACATAATTTTTTTTTTTTTATATGTGTGTATTAGAATTTCTCAACTTCTTAATAGGAAAAGTATGGCTGCTGGTTTAGCAACCAAATCAAGGGCAAAGCTCCTGGTTGTTTTGTCCACTAAATTGACAAACTAAGGTATGCCATATGGGACTGTATTTTCGTATCCACTTCATAGCATAACAAAATCAGAATTCTTTAATGAATTTTTTGGATCCATTAGTGAAGAGTAATAGCTAGAAACTTGTGATTAACAGTGGCCCCTCCATTGTTTATCCTTTCTTACAAAATTCAAAGCGCTGGCGAGCAAAAAAATTGTTTTTCTTTTAAGAATGAAAAAGACAAAATGGTTGGGTAATAAAGCAAAAATATATTTTTTGAGCACATGACAATGTTCTTTCTTATTTCTACTGACTTTTTTTTTTTTTTTTTAAGGTTAGTAATAAAAGTGTTTTCAAACCAATTTTCGTATATATTGAGATTAATCTTTCTCTAAATATGTCAAAAAACACTCTCCAGCACACTGGCTATTAAGTTGCTAGTAAGGCCTCTTTGCACTGGTATTTGGAACACTTGTATTCTGAAAGGAAAGATTTCTTACTTGTAGCAGACTTGTAGGCCATCGACAATGCATGAGTAGTATTGCAGAAACATTAAAAATTAAAAAAAAAAAATATTTAAAAGTCAAATCCTACCAAATTGTATGATTGAGCACGCTGTCATGTGAGTTCTGTTTTCATGTCAAAGAAATAGATATGAATTTCATATCGAAAAGCTCACTTTATAGAGTACATGAAATAATTCGTTTGTAATTTTCTCATTGCCCTTTTTTTCCTAATCATGTTGACTTTGAATCATGTGTTTTGTTATGGGTTAATTTTCTTAAGCCTAAGTTATTCAATATATTAATTGTTCTTTGATTTCATTTTGTTTGTGTGGGGAAAAAAAAATTGCAGAATGTTACTTCTAATGTCCCATGTTCCGTTTCATCCTCTACCTATTTGGTATTTTTCCTATGCGAACGTATTTTTATTTTCTTAATTGTCATGTGTTTTATTTGGTGATTTCATAGCTGCAAAAAAGAATGAACATTTAGTTTGTCGCAATTCGGTTTCTGTTAACTGAATTCATTAAATGGAAAATCTAAATCAAACCAAAATTGTATTCCATTTTTTAGTTTTTGGTTAAAATCGATTTTTTTTCCAATTTTTTACAGATTAAAATTCTGCTGAAAGCATAAGCTGGATAAACAGTGCAAAATTTCTACCATAAAATACAAATTTTTACCATTTGAAAGGTAAGGAATCTATATATATAGGGTTTCCATCTATTAATCCATAGGCTTTTACCTTATAGGATGAATGGGTGGAAAAAGAAAGTTATGAAAATTGAAAGGTGACTTTCAATATTGGAAGTCAGAAATCTAATTGACCATCCATTTTAATAACAGTAATAAACAAAGCAAAAATTTCCAAGTTTCTAAGCAGAATAATACTGCGGACAAAATGAGTTGCCATGTGTTTTTTGGCAATAGAAATTCTACATACATTAGTCCAAAATTCACATCATGCAATAGAGTAGGAGTTGATGGATATAGACATTATACTATTGCAGTCTGCTGGCCAATAAGCAGTTTGGTCAAAATATAAAAATAACATAGTAGACATGCAAGTCAAAGATGCATTAACTTCATTGTTGACATTTCCTTTGTTTTTTTTAAAAAAAAATTCATTAAGCCAAATAATCTATTAAAATATTTATATATCAAACAAATAAAAATTTAAAACTTACCATATCATCCAAAACACCATTAATCTAACATATATCTATCGTAGTTGGTCCAATGAAAGTTTTATTAGATTAGAATAATATAAATTCAAAAAAAAAAAAAAAAGCACTTTAACATTATTAAAGGAAAAAAATGACAAATGAAAAAATAGAGTTACAAAAATTATCAGTTTTAATTTTTTTTTAATTTCTTACAAATTTTCTTTAATAAGAACTATATGTGGAGTTGAATTTCTAAAAATATAATGAAATCTTTTTCCTGTTCTAAATGCAAATTCGAAAACAATAATAAATATTAGAACCGCTAACATATCACAAGCTATTTGAAAAAGAATCAAAGATCAAGTAGGGTTATTTTTTCATCATTTTAAAGTATTTAAATTATTATCATCATTTTCGACATCTTCACGACTTCACCAAAAATCCTATCCAATTTCTATTTATTATCTTTACCTCCACTTTCAACCTTGAATTTTTTTTTAAAAATGCTGCTTCAATCCCTCTCTAATTTCATGTTTTGTCCCTCTCTCAACCGTTATTTTATTTGCAATAGATGATACTTCCATTCTCTCATTACTTTGGCCTCTTTGTGGTACTAATAACTTACAATATAAATCACACATAACATACGTAGGTTTTTTTAAAATTTGTCATTATTTCATCATTCAAATCACCATACATATCACGGAATGAAAATACAATAATTCAAGTTTAGGCCTACAATTACGGATTGCTACAGTATAAATTAATTAATTTATTTTCTTAATGTGTTTTTAATATTTATCAAATTTTTCTTTCATATTAGTAGCTATTAAAAAAAATCGAATTAAAAAATTTCTTTCTCTTTTCTCAAAAGACAATCAACCAAACTAATCTCGCCAAAATATGTAAAAAACTTGAAATAAGCAAATTAAGATAGACTACCGTATCGTTTTGTGATGGACTCGATGTTGGGCAAAATTGCCCTTGATGTCACCCACACGCCCAATTTAATTTTCAGCTTTTGATATATATATATATATATATATATATAATACCGTACGCTACCTGTCTTTATATATATATATATGTATATATATATAAAGAAAGGTAGCGTACAGTATTATTAATTTCTGCACGAAACCTAATATTCCATCCTCGTGTACTGTAACTACATATATATAATCTTTGCATGACATATAACCACAAACTGAAGCTTTTTCTACTTTCTTTAGCTGAAAACAACTCACCCTCACGAGGATCTTGAGAGAAATCAAAGCCGTCCAAGAAATTAATGGTTTCTTTTGGGAAAGTCATCTTTTGATATAGTTAGCTGGTATTAAAATCAACTTTATTAGGCATGGGTGTAACTGCAAATGCTAAGAATGTCTTTGAATGAAAAAAAAGTTCAAATTAATTATTCATCTATGGTTTTACAATGGTTGGACTCGATAGGACGACATTAATTGGGCTGGTGCACATTTGACAAACGCTGTTGCACGATTTAATGATTCAACTCAGCTCGTGATTTAAGGGGGAAAAGGTTAATTTGAGTTTATTCAATCAACTTAATTAATTGTGTATAATTGGTTAATTTACTTTAGGCAGTCCTGTTTATTACAAGTTCAAAAGCAATCATGTTGCTGTTGCTAGAGGTTTTTGTCTCTTCTTCCAAGCAGTTCTCGAAAACGGAACACATCAGATGAAATGACAGTGATAAAAAATTCTAAGAGATCAGTGCTATAACTAGCTAGCATCCAATTAAAAAAGGGAATATAATTAATTAAGGTAAGGTGTTTTGTTTTGAAACATTATAGTAATTTTTTTTTTACCCGAAGCAAATATATAAAATTATTGTTAAATTTTAGTTTAATAACTCGTGTCATGTTATGCGTTTATCAAAATATATTAAATCAAAACTAAATAAAAATTCATTAAATTTTATAATTTTTAATCAAAAATTTTTATTTGATTAATTATTCTTCATATTTTCATAAATTTTTTATTAAAAAAATTGTTTATTTATCTCCATCTATGTTTTTAACTAAAAAATTATAATAATGTAAGAAAAATATCAAAATCAATGAATTTTTAACTAAAAAATTATTTTGTAAATTTTTTTTGAACATTTTTTTGTCATAAAATTTATAACTAAAAAAAAATTAAAGAAAAAAATAAGAACCAAAATGATCAAAATAAAATAAAAAAAGACTAAAATAAAATAATTTGCAGATAGAAAAAAAATATTTAAAAAAACAATAAAAAAATTACTCCATAGTAAAAAAAAAAAAAAAGAGTGTATGGATAAATAGTGTATTTGGAACAGCTAATTTATTTATTTATTTTTTAATGTGAATATCATTTCTCAGCAATGGTGTACGCTGGTTTCCTGTGAAAACTATTAAAATAAACTAGAAAAGGTACGTAGGTCTGAGAGATTCGATCGGCATCAAACACCTAATCTGTGAAGTCAACTCCCAACAGGACCTTCGTTTTTCTTCTTTTCTATACTATTTCTTTAATCTACTACTATTTTATTGTTCATGAGAATACGTGAACCTATTAATGCGGATCTACCATCGTTTGAGAATGAGCATGTCTGTCTTTTTCCCAGCTACATAAAGTTCAGTGATTCTTATGTACACCCACCTATATTTAACACTACCATGCATCATCATGTGATATCCATGCATGACATGCAATATTGCCCACATCATGCATGTTACCTATCGACCATATTCAACTTTAGTTGACCCTTGCAAGTTTTTCATAAATTAAAAAAGCAACTACTGTTCCCTTAATTATTTTTTAAAGTTTTTGGTGTATATGGAAAGTTTTACTTCACGAGTATCCCATCGCTAGCCCAATAATTGATCCAAGATCAACTTCTGAATACCATCTGACTCATAAACAATGGTCAATTTCAGCTAGAAGCTGTTCTTGACGTTGTGAGATGGGAAATGCTTTAAATTATTAATTAATATCGGGTGTTTGAATAAGCAAAAGAAAAGGCTGCTAAGTCATTAATTAATTGATTGAGTTGCCTTCACATAGGAAACGTATGCTTGAATTGAAAGGAAATTTATAATATTCAACATTATTTTGCAAGATGCTGCATCTGCTAATTTATCTCAAAGGTATGTTTTGTCTCCTTTTCAAGCATTTTGCCCGCCACAGTGATGAGCGTGACAAATTACTCGTCATTTTTGTATTTCCCTACTAATATATATTAGTTGCATGAATCTCGTGGTTGCAATTTGCAATATTGAACTAACTAGCACTTCTTCAAGTAATTAACATGTCACATTGTTAAGTACTTTAAGAAAACCCACCTGAAAAAGGAGCCTGCAATTACTTATCTCAGAAAAAAAAAAGAAGATAAGATCGTAATTTTATTGGTCGGTATATTAGTGTGTAACTAATTTGATACATTTAATGGATAAGCCGATAGGGATTGACTATTCTTTTCTACTGTAAGTATAGCTTGGAATCCAGTGAGGATCATTAATTTTGCCAGTGGTCTCTTCAAATTAAGTCTTGCTTCTTGACTTAGCAGACCCTATGTAGAGCTGGCTTCCTCTACATGCATTTGATTGACGGCGAAAATGGGGGCTCCAGTTCAAAGACCCGGTAACTCATATAGTCCAATTTTGAAAGATGGATTAGAGTTGGAGTCCTTAGCGGGGACCGCGCGAAATTGATATGCCAGCAAGAGATCCACCCTGGTCCGACGCTAATTGACTGCTTTTTTTTGGTCGAATAAAAACTGTCTGCCAAAATCAGCAACATTAATTTTGGGAACATTGCAAGCCTAAGTCTATAGCAGAACCTTTTCATCTCAAGCGTAAGACAATCTACAGCTTATATTTTTTACCTTCCATTGACCAATTATCACGAATTCATGATCCATTGACGATGAACTCAATGGAACATGAGAAAACAGGGGGATAAGAGGGGGAGGAGATTGGAGGCTAAAAGCATTTGGGTGGCTATTTATATATATATTATTCTTCAAGCTGCTATGCACTCCATCTTAAGTGATACTTTCCTCCTTTTTTATCAAATACTCCAGCATCTAGAGTCATAACTAATTCACTTCAAAGTTGTAAATTTCTATGTTCCAGGATCGAATACAATTAAAACACATCTTAAAAGAGATTGTGAAAAGGTGGGAGACTATTCACTATTTGGGCCAACAAAAAGAAAGCCCGACTTAAAAGGGAACGGTCCTTCCTCTCACAAAGGCGGGCGGCGTTCTGATCAGGGCACCTCGTGGATTTCTGGACCATTAAATTTGGACTTGTCTGGCCTACTCTTTCCCTAGAAGCCTTCTGGCTTTGGTACTGTCAAGAGTTTCTGCCATCCGAGTACGATCTCAGCTAGGCCTGCTACCCATATGTTAATAATTTTGTGTCCATCTAATGATTACAAGTTTTTTTCATCGATATTTCCTTTTTCATATTATCTACTAACATTTCTAGTTTATGCACCTAAAATTGATATTTCCTGTTTCGTATTACAACTCTTCAGGAAGATAATGAACTGTACCGGACCATCTAGCAACAAGATCAAGTCTAGCACACATAACAACTCATCCTATATGCTTTTCCTATAGGTCTCCTAGCTAAACTGTCCGCGTTACAGAGACGTATGCCCTCCCGCAGTGCATTTCACAGTTTCAGCAAATTCGAAGGCCATGCTAAAATGAATAATCCTGGAGTACAAGCAACAAAAAACGATTATACGATGCCCGAGTCAGGACAGGCAATCAACAGAAGGGCTGGATAAAGATCTAAATACTTTGCCATGATAATGAAATAAAAACAGGATAATCAGATCGTCCACAAAATCATGTCTGAAATTGGCACACTCAATGGTTTTCATGGAACACCTTGAAACATACAGCCTATGTCAATATTTCAATTTATCGTATTATTTCCCTCTTTTTGTGCACCATAAAATTCCGCAGACTTTCCATGATCAAAATTACATTTGAAGCAAAAAAATGAAGACTGTCTCATGTGAGATTTTCTTCGCAATGCCAAAAACATATGGAAGAAAAAAGAAAAATGAAAAAGAATCTCAACCATCTGGCAAGGAAGACTTTCTGTGTATTTTATGATGGAGAAGCAAAGCTGACACGGAATCCTGACTTGCCACGGTCCTCGCCAAATTTCTTCAAGATGTAGCAATAATTCAACTGGAAACAAAATCAAGCTCATTAGAAACGAAATGCCTGGCCATGATCTTGCAGAAATAAATAAGATAAAATAAAAATAAACAAATTAAAACAGGAGATAACAACACACAGTTTTCATGCCATGCTATATGAAACTCGTGCAACAGTACACCATATTAATTAACGAGATAGCTTTTCACATTTTCCTGACTTTTACATTTTTTTATGTTGACCCACCTACTGTTTCGCTAGGATTGTGCTCGACAACTACAATCCCAAAAAACCCTCTATTGCTTAGTTATAAAATGAAAAAAAAAAAAAAACCTGATTACTGACCTCCATTCGGAAGAGATTTGTAGGGATAACAACTCCAACTCCTGCGGAGCTACGAAATGATTCTGTGAACTTTCGTAAAGAAAAATTCCGGTATGCATTTTCTGTTAGTTTGTCGACATTCCCAGCAGATGCAAAAACATGTCCATGGATTCCTTTTGCACTTAACCACTTGGATGGAAAATCAAAAGAAAAATCTGCAAAAGCAGCAAGAGCAAGATCTCCTCCAAGATAATCCCTTCCAGAATCAGTATTCTCATTAGCTGGGTTACTTCGCAGCTGCCTTCGAAGCTCAGTAGGGCCCAGACCTTTTGTTCTAAACCCCCATAATGATGTCGGGCCACCCAATGTGCAAACTGGAGATAAGTTGCCACCAAGGAAGAACCTTTCTGGCAGTGGTGAAGGCATACTTGAAAATCCAGATCCCCAGGGAAAAACAACACCAGCAGATATGCCCAAGTTCAGTGCAGAACGGTAAAATCCAAGTGGTATGGCACAGCGAAGATCAAGCTCCTGTTGTAAGAAAAGAATGGAAAGTCCATGAGAAAATAAAAATGAAAGCAATGGAATTGGTAAAAAAAAAAAAAAAGCATCTCATATTTTAATCAGATTGCCAATAGCTGAACACCATCAACATAGTAACATAAAATAGACTGATTTATTTTAAAAAGAAACCATAGCAAATACAGCCATAAATATACGATGAAAACCTGAAGCTCTTAACCACGCTTCCAGTATAATATATTAATGAGAAATAGCTCGTTGTCCAACAAATACAGTTGAATAAAGAGGCGTGAAGTATTCCCAATTAACATACAATAACAAATAATTTCAGCTCCTTAAACTAGTTAACCAACAAAGATTTAGGACCAAAGCCTTGTGCATGAATTTAAAATGAAGAAAACTACAAGTTAGCTTTCAATTTTAGGAAAAAGAAATTAAAAAGGTCAATTTTTGTATTAAAAATTATTTTATTCCCCAATCTAAATTATTTGAGATCAGAATTCTAGAAAGGAACGCACGAAAGGATGATCACAACTTCAAATTTTTCAACCCTAGATAATCTTCAACTCTCTGGTCTGTATCTTTTTCTCTGTTTGTGGAAAAGAAAATTGAGAGTACTCAGATCTTCATTCTCCAAAACAACAACAACAAATGCAAATTTCTTTTTAAATTCTGAATTTTTTTGGTATAAATATATTTCTTCATTTTCTGAATTGGATTTCAAATTCCCAGTTGATAGGATTTAGGAGAATTTATATGTAAGTTTTTACTTTACATGATGGTGAACCATTTGCTCTCTACATAGAACCTCCTGCATTAGCAGCCATCGATGGATCTAGAAATTTTACTTAGTGGGAGCAATATATATAACTACGAGGAAAAAAGATACCTATATTCAAAACAAATACATGATTTATACACTATCTAATTATTGACAAGAAAAGGAATTTTTACTAAAAATGTTTATAAATCATTATCAAAGAAACATTAAGCTTTTCACTAAAAACTGACATTAAAAAATCACATTCAATGAATGAGATTACTCAAATATATGCCAAAGAGAAAGATGTCCAAAATTTGAGAACCAAAACATTGAATTCAAATGGGAAGCTTTTTTATTTTTTGATAAATTAAAAATAGAAAAACTAGAATAGAGAATAATATGAAATCTAAAGTTCACAACTTTTCCTCACCCCTCAAGCAAATATAGTGTAAGAATGAGAGAAACAATATGATAAGTTTTTTTTTTCCTTCAACAAAGAAGCTGGTAGTAGCATAAGTTTTCCTTACAACTCTCATAAAAAGTGGCATGCAACTAGAAAGGAATAAAAGGAATAAAAAGTGACATAAGTTCACAACTTTTGTCATTGTTTTCATAACTAGAAAAAAAGGAATAAAAAGTGGGCATGTAGCTTGTCATTTGGAAGTTAAGCATTTCAAGTTTTGGTACTTGCAAGTTCCATGAATGTCCAATTAGGCATGGAGTTGCCCAGGCGGGGGGAATGTTAACCAGTGAATGGGTCAATTTTAACTGTTCTAAAATTTGTTGCCTACTCAACTAAAGGACTCGAATATTTCAGCAGGGGGTAGTTGACTCCACTATCTATGTACTGCATCGGCCGGAGTTAGCAGCAAGACAATTATTGATTATCATTAAAAGAGTTTGACTTGACCCAGAGAAAAACTAAAGTCTAGTTCTTAGAGCTGTTAGCATGACAAAATTGACATCAAAGATTTGTTTGCTTTTCCTGGAAAGAGGCAAAGCCAGCCCCAACATACAGCTCAAAAGAATGCCTCAAAAACATAGCTTGCATTATAATACAGCAGATGGCCATCATTTTCTATGCAAAAGTCACAAACGAGAAAGTTTCAGAAATGCAGGAAGAAAAGTTTAAAAAGTTGTGAGGCATAATTAACACATAAGAAAATTACAAGCTGTCCATAACTGAGGAATAACAAGCATCCAACAGAGCTTTTCCAGAAACTAAAAGGCTGACGGTGCAAGAAAAACAAGTGCACATTTCAGTATGATCTAATCCCACAGAATTGAGATTCAAAACACCATCTAGACTTTGAGTTTCTGTTTGGTAAAAGAAAACTGTCAAAGCTAAGCGACATAAAAACAAATGACATATGGAGAGAGGGAGAGACATAAGCAAAGAAGGCAGTCAGAACAATCTTGTCTACAGCCAAAAAGTGGCAGCAAAGCCAAGAAACAACAATGCTCGAAAGAACTGAATAGAACAGCTACAAGGAAAACCAGAAGATCAAACATGAAATGAGTATCAAACCTGGCGCAAAAATCGTAAGCTACGACTATCAGGGGCAAGGCCACCAACTTGGGTAGTAGAAACAAAAGCAAATCCACGTGTTGGCCTCAGAGGTGAATTTCTGCTGTCAATCTTAAAAGTGTACTTCAAAGATGAAAGTAAATCATGACCAAGCTGCCTCCTTACAGAACTTGAAGCCATTCGAGATGGATCTGTCAAGGTACGCCATGCAAGATTGTACGCCAAGTCATGGTTCCTGGTTGAGAATAAGCCAAGACAGAACCCCAATGATCGCTCTTTGAAAGAGGAAAACTTTAGGCAGTCTTGAGATTGCAGGAATATTCGTGCTGTTACTGGGGTCAAAAGTCCTTTGAATCTTGGCAAAAACACACCAGCACTTACCTCTGCCTTGTGGTCATAATCATATGCCAGCGAGCCATCCCAAAGATCCCCATAACCAAATATATTTTTGTACTTGAGAGTACCCTCCAACGTTGACGACGAAACCTACAAAACCAACTTACAATTTCAGAAACCCCTTAGTTTCCAATGAATCTCGAGATTTTGAATCTATAATGTAAAAACGTGAATCAAACTCCGCATGCCAGAAAAGATTTTATAATTATGCAAATGCAGAATATTTCAGCTATCTAACTGCCCCAATGATTTATAATGTTAGACATATGTATGCCATTAAGAGCCACCATCAACCATCTTTCACTAAACATGCCTGGTTCCATGCTCCTAATCACTAATATGAATATTTAACAACACAAACTAGTTGGACCATTTAAATTTCTTTTTCAATTTCCCCTAGTTTTCAGCAACCAAACACAGCACTGAATCATTTATCACAAATCCAAAAATTTGAAACAAAATCTACAAGTGCGGTTTATTTGTGCCTGGATGGTAGACAACGCGCATTGTAGCACCACCTTAAACAAAACAACTCTATAAATGCAATTCCTCCCTTCTACTGTTCTCTTTTTCCATTTCCCATTAAACACAAGCACATCATGATTCAGTCATCAAATGATCACCGAATCAACTTAACCAGAACAAGCACTAAATTTCCCACATTTCTATCAATTTCACACACAATCACTAGAACACAACCAAACCAAGAAATTGAAGCTACAAAGACGCATATTATAACACAATTCAATTACCCAAACACCGCCAATTCCAACTACAAAAACAAATGTTCAAAATTTATACCTCGCCTTTGTTGAAAACCCCAATTTCACCCAAGAGGGGGCTCCGAGTTTCTACAACATCAACAATCACATTAGCAGTGCCAGGCAACTCCGGTGGGCCCGAATCAAGCGTGATCTTGACCGAATCAAAAATCTCTAGCGCTTGTAACCTAAAATTCACATCATTAGAAGCCGCAAACAGCTCTTGAATAGTAGACGCATCTTTAAGCGACGCCGTTTCTGCTTCAATCAAAGAGTCTTTGGTTTTAGTGTTTCCTTTGATTACCACATCGTGGACGCGAATTGGGAGCGATTCATTTTGTATTCGGCGAAAGAAATTCTGAAATCGGTTTCGGAGCTTAGCCTTTTGGGATTCTAGGTCCTCGTCCTCGTCCTCGTCTTCTTCTGCGTCTTCCTCTTCAATATCGTCGGTTTGTTCGTAGAGGTCTTCTTCTTCTTCGTCATTGTTGTAGTTTCGTACGACCCGGTCGGATAAGTCGTCTTCGGGCTTTGGCATAGTGAGAAAGTTGATTGAGGCGGGGAGGGGGAGAGAGGGAGGTTTAGGTGTCGAAGATGAAGTGAAGGTACCGTGGACGACTAGTAGTGTGTCGCTTGTCCCTCAACTTTTACTTTACTGCATTTATTTACTTACGTTTATAGTGTTGAACATTGTAAATTTTCTTGGCCCCGGATCATGGCATTTCGCTTGCAGTGCTAATTTTGGGCACCGCCTGCTTCCAACTTCGATTTAGTACATGTTTGGTAGCGTCATGTTGTGTTGTGCTATGAGTTGAAATTAATATATTTGTGAAAATAGTGAAGTTTTGGTGCTATTTTAAAAGTTGTATTTTTACTGGATTCCACAGTAATTTTTTTTTTTTTGGTTAAAAGCCTGATTTAACAACAGAATAAAATAATTTTATATTATATCGTGGTTTAGTTATTGTACATTGTTGTGTCATGATTTTATACAATGAAAATAATGGATCTCATAATAATTTTCTTTGTTTTTAAATAAAAAAAGTATAGCTCTATCAAACACTGTTTTTAGACTAAAATAGATAAAATAAGGATAAATGGATCAAATTTCTTTTAAACTTTCATCAAGTTAAAAATCAGTTTTTAAACTTCTAATTTTGGATTGATTTTTTCTAAATTTTATTTTGTTATGAGATTTAATCCATTCTTTAATTTTCTGTCAAAAATAAAGATTGCATAAATAGACATATGATGAAAATTATTAAGTAAGATTTATTTGAGATTTTCTAAAATATTTGGGATCATTTTGGATAATTTTTTATTTTTCTTGATTTTTTACATTTTTAATTCAGAAATAAAATAATATATTTCTCAATTTTGAAAAATTCTTATTTTTTTTCCAAAAAAATAGATTGGATTTGTTACTATGTGTGTGTAAAATTCAAGTCAAAATATTAAAAATTAATTTTTTTAAAAGTAAATGATAGCTGAAAATCATAAGATCAATTAAATCTCAAAAACAAAAATTCAAGAAATGTTAAATATGAAATTAAAAATTTAGGAATTGGTTTTCAAATAAATTAAAATTCAGAAGAAGTTTAGCTCATTTAGTTATAAAATTAGCCGGTTGCCCGTGTTACGCAGAGAATTTAATAAAATAAAATTATTTTAAAATTTTAAAATTTTTTAAATATAATATTTTATTTAATTAATTTTTTATAATGTTTTTATAAATTTTTTGTTTAGAAAAACATAAATCATTCTTATTTGTGGATTGATTTTAAAATTAAAAATTGTAATAATTTTAAATAAAATATTAATCAAGAATTGAAAAAAAATTAAAAATATAATTTTTATAATATTATATTCTAAAAAATAAAGTATCAAAAACAAATGAAGTGTAAAATTTAAAAATGAATACAAAAAAAAAAATTATAAGAAAATCACGAAAATACCATTATAGAAAATCATAAAAATACCCCTATAAATTACTATTCAAACAGCAATTTATTGCTCATTTATCCCAACTGTTTTAGTTTTTGGTTAAATATTCTCCCTTGATAGATTTTCTAGTATTTATTTCACATCAAAAAATAAAGAAAATGAAAAAATATTTTCCTGAAAAAAAGCATTGTTAAAATACAAAGACAACAGGAAGGATAAAGGCTGGATTATGGAGGATTTGCACGTGTATTCACACGACACTCAGAAGACCCATCTTGTTGATCCAAGGATTACACACAAGTCAGCCCAGATTCTTCCAAGCAAGCGCCTGTACATCCAAATTCAAAAACCACAAGCCTCCTCCCTCTCCCTCCCTACTCTCCCTGCTTTCTTCTCAACTTCTTCTATAAACAAAACAAATCACCACCATCAATCGATCAACTCTATTTCCAAATCAAAATGGAAACAAAAAACTCAATAACCCACAACGATCTCTTATCTTCTTTAATATCAGATATCAAATCTTACTCTGGCAATGACCCTCTGCTCCCTTGGCTCCGGTGCTCCTAATCTTTCTCTTTCAGTTTTTCTTTTCTTGGCTTCTTTTAGTATTGTTATTGTTAATAAAATTTGTTTGATCTTAAACAGGGGGATTAAGAAAGTGAAGGAGTGTCTGCCTCAGAATGTACTTAGAGAAAAGTTGCCTCGTTTTCTGCAAAAATGCACTCAGAGTTTTGAATCTGATAGGCGTTATAGAAATGACTCGCGCTACCTTCGTGTTTGGTTACAGCTGGTAATTCCAGAAACCATCTTTTTTCTTCTTTATTATTTTTTATTTTTTTTGCGAATTGGGGGTTGTTGGGTTTTGGATTGGTTTATTAATGTCGATAACTCTGTTTTTGAGGAGAAAAGAATGTGAAAATTAAAATGTCTCTTATAGAGAAAATAGAACTGTTAAAAGATAGTTGCATTTTTTTATTATCTGTTTATTTTGAATGGGATTGTGTAGATGGATTATGTGAGTGATCCAAGAGCGCTGTTGAGTACCATGGAAACGAATCGCATAGGAGCAAAGCGGTCGTTGTTCTACCAGGCATACGCTCTTTATTATGAGAAGATGAAGAACTTTGAGGGGGCTGAGAACATGTACCGTTTAGGGGTGCAGAAGTAAGTGTACTACATTTCAAAAAATATCTCAATTTTTGCATGAAAGAGGATATTTGATGTTTATTTCTACTGCATATTATCTGTAAATGCTTACAATACATTTGAATGAGTGTCGAATGGGTTCGTGATGCAATATTTTGGAAACATAAGGCCACTTAGCAGTTTTGTGACGTCCCAGTTCTGCATCAAGACAGTGGACCTCTTTCTTTCTATCTATCTTTTTATTTTTTCCAGCAATGTAGTTTTTAGGTGGATTTTAATATCACCGGCTGTCTAAAGGCCGTGAATTTCTAGGACAGAGAGAAACTAGTGGATCATTTATATAAATGAAAAACCTGTCATTAGGAGCTTAGATGAAATCCTCGTTCACTTTTAATTGGATTTCTTAGCCACATTCACCTCTCATTTGAAGCTGCTGGCTTGATCAAGCACTTGCATTGTTTTATCTAAATGGATAACAATGTTTACTGAATATTCGCATTTTGTTCATGTGGTTGGCTTCTTCTCTTGTCTTCAGAGGGAATGCTAGAAGCTATGTTTTTTTTTTCCCCTTCCTGGTCAATTCAAGCTAAACGCCTTTGCTGACTCGGGGGATAATGAAAACCTCATTCATTATTTCACCATCTACCTCTACCATGCAAAGAGAATATATTATGAATGCTAATTACTAGCTTTATTGCATAACAAAAACGAATAGCAACTTGCCGAATAAATCATTTACTAACATATTAACCTATGTCTTTCATTATGTTACATAGCCCTTTGATGGTTTTGAGTGACATGGGATTTATTTTTTCGAAAAGTGAACCAAAGCAATATTCACTATCTAAAACAACGTTTGAACAGCCATGCCGAGCCTGTTGATGAATTGCAGAAATCATATGAGCAGTTCCTTCATCGCATGGAGAGACACAGAAAGAAAACCATCCAGGTAGTGATCATTTTTATTTAAGATGATGAGCTTGCCTTCATTATTGGTGAAAGCGTTCTGTTATCTAACTTTTCACAGAGATCCTGCAGCGCCAGGGAGGAAGAGGTGACAAAAGACCTCTATCTTCCAGGAAGATTGAAGAGAACAATGGGAACATATACGGTGTTGAGGATGGGCATAAAAAGATACCGGACTGGAGTTCTCAGAATGATAAGCCAATGAAGGAATCTAACCATGCTGGGGTTTCAGGAAATTCATGTGAAGTTGGCTTGGGTAGGGATCCGTCCGTGAAGAAGGAACTTGTGAGAAAGATTGGACAGAGAGGTGTATCTAAGCAGCTAAAGAATACAGGAGCGTCAGAAGAACCCAAGATGTGTTACGGTGATGATACTGTTGTGGTAAAGTTTGTAGATACTGCAATAGTTGGAAAGCAAGAAACAGAAGATGCCTGCCATCATGGACTGGTGGACCCTACAATAAATATGAAGGAGGCCATGAATGCCATCAATAGCATGTTTCGAGAGCCTTTAGAAACTGCTCCAGTAAGTAGATCACGCAGAAGTCGACCAAACGAAGACCATAGTTTGAACGATGGATTTGATGTATTTATTGATGAAAACTTGGATAGTAGAACTGATTCAGCACATCAAAAAGACAAAAAGGATATTTCCCTGATGGTGCCTGGTAGAGCTCAAATATCCCATGCTCATCAAGAACCATTCCAAATATTTATTGATGATGAAGAAAGCAGTGAAAATGGTGACAGAACTTATGGGGATCAATTAGAGAAGAGTGAGACTAAAAATCTGGCAGGAGGTTCTTATTCATCTGCTTTACCTTTAAATGCTTTTGTCTTCCTACCTCCGAAGGATCTTCCATCTGAAAGCTCTGATTATTTGGATGCGGAGAGTTCACCTCGAATTACGCTCAGAGAGGATACAGTTGTTCACAGGTTTGTTGGGTCTACCATCTCAGATGAGCCGGTGGTGGAAAATGTTTGCCACCATGGGTTAGTAGACCCTACAATCAACTTGAAGGAGGCTATGGATGATATTAATAACATGTTTGGGAAACCAATAGATTTTGTAAGAACCAAGCAATCAAAGAAGCAAGATAAAACTCCTGTTAGGAAACAAGATCTCCGTGGGTTTTCAATACTTCCTGATGATGATTCGGAGCATCAGCAAGGTCAGCCACCACCCAGTTCATCCAGAGTAAGCAATGCTGATTTGTTTGAGCCAACAGTTTTTACAAAAGAGGCAATGGATGACATAAATAAGATGTTTGGAATGCCACTGGACTTTTAGGAACAACTATTATTAGCGGCACGTAAGAGTTCACTTTGTAGCTAATTTAATGTGTTGTGCTATATTTGTGTTTGAATTTGTCAAAATTTTGATCTCTTCGATCTTGCTTCATTTAAAAATCTTTAAATGTGATTTAGTACGTACCTGCACTATCTTTATTCCAATCTCTGTTGCAACTCATCTTCATCGGCATCGTGCAGTGATCAGTCATGTGTGTTCTTATAATGTCTGCAAATACAGCCTAGGCCCTAGAGAAGGAAATAACTGAACGATGACAGTGTAATAGTTAACACGTAACACTTTGTGCAAGGGAATTCAAGTTGTTGAAGAAACAGAACAAATCGCCACCATTGCTGGATGATACAGCTAAAATCAACAGAAGAGGGAATAAACAAGAATCAAAACCAAAATGAAGATTGATCATCTTCTGCATCCTGCAATGATCAGTGATAATGTCCTAATAACGTCTGCAAACACAGCCTAGAGAAAGATGATGAGGTATGAAATTTGAGCTTTCAGAGAGCCCATCAGGTTGGGTCTTCTCATAATTATGGGTTCTCTTTCTTGTGTTCATAGCCACCTGACACACATATTAAAACTATACCATATACCCTAAATTTTTTACTATATAAAACGACTCGTTCCCTCGTAAACACACAAGTTTAATAACTTTAATCACACTAACATATATACATATTCTCAAAAAACCAGCTCAGCCGCTTTCTGTCTAATATATATACAATATATAGAAAATAACGACTTAGCCATAAGAGTGACCATGCCGGGTACTTGTACTCCATGCTGGTAGAATTTTGAAAGACACCACCAATATTTTTTCAGCCTCCTTAAGGAGGTTGAATATCAAGTACTATTAATCTAAATATCAAAATCTCACATATCATCAACAGCACTATCCGCAGAGAATTGAGCAAAAAGTTAGTTTTTAATGCATATATACTAGCCTTCAATCTGACAACAATAATGTCCTCCATACGAAACATAAAATCTGACAGTACACTACATGCTTCACCTAAATATCCCTCAATTGAATAAGGTATTATCTCCCTAAATTTGAAAAATAGATGCAAATATTACCGTGAAATATATATATATATATATATATATATATTGACCCACTAAGATTGTCTTCGCCTGCAATAAAAAGGCACTCCTGACTCGTCCTAACACCTTCTTTAAGAAGGTATCAATTATTAATGTCATCACGTGGTCATGCTTTCATTTTGAAACACACTTATATATATTGACCCACCAACATTGTCTTCACTCCCAATAAAAAGGAACTCCTAACCCGTCATAACACCTTCTCTAAAAAAGTATCAATTATTAATGTCATCACGTGGTCATGCTTTTATTTTGAAATACACTTATACTATTGATACCAACTTGTTACATATTTGATTATTTTTTACAAGTATCTAGTGGCGGACATGCGTTCATTGCTACGGAGATTTAGGCCCTCTCTAATTTTTTTACCCCCATACTAGTATATGACAAACCAAATCCTCTTTAAATGTTTTTTAACCTTTGCCCCTCGATTCTCATACTAAGCATTAATAAACCCTTCATATTTGTTTAATTTGATCCCGAGCCTCCCAACACTACTAAATTAGTTCCTTTTTCTCTTTTCCTTAACTCTCACTCTATTCAAAACACCAAAAAGAAAACGTTCTCTCTTATTTGATTTCTTTTATTCAACAACGAGTAGGTATTTTCTTCAAAAATCGGTAATTTATTAACTCTTATTATATTGTTTACATTATTAATTTGTTAAGTTTTCATTTTATATATTGATTGAATCTTGACAACTCCTAATTTTCTTTTTTAAATAATATTTTATAATTAAAATATTAGATCGGTTGTCTTTTCGGTTTTATTTTATGTGATTAACATACCTATTAGATCCATGGCTTTGAATCTTGACAATACAACGGTCGGTTCTACTATAATCCTTCATATTTTTAGGTACGTGTACAAGTGAGCCCGGAGTTGTGGCTCCCGGTAGACCTAGGTGGTGGTCTATTTATGTATTTTGTTTAAAAATTTGAATTTCTTATTTGCATTTTAAGTGAATTTGTAATTGGTTGCATATCGCACTTTAGAAATTATTGTATATTCGTATTTGTAATTTATTTTTATTATAGATGAAAAAGTCGTATACCATCGATGCGTTTTTTAAAAGGGAGAATGTTATCATTTCAAACTCTAATGAGAAGTCAAATTCTTCTATTGATCTTAATCTTTTGAATTCTGAAAATCCTCCAACAAAATCTCGGAGAGTTGAAATCAAAAAAGGATTTGATATCAATTTATTAGAACATGATGCGGGATTACGACCATAAATATGGGAGTATCCTAATGACAAACACGATAGAGTTCGAAGAGCCTATATTTATGCTTGGTCCATATCGGCATATGCTTTCAAATTATCCAAAATCTAGGGAAAAACATCCCGTAGTTTCCAAGCATCATGGTTTAAATTATTTCCATCGTGGTTAGAATATTCTTCGACCAAAGATGCGGTATTTTATCTATCTTACTATTTAATTCACACATCAAATGAATCTTTTGGATCGAATGCATTCAATGTTAATGGATTTCAATCATGGAAGAAAGTTAGGGATGATAAAAATTATGCATTCTTAGTACATTATGGAAAAGATCTCATTTCTCCTCGTAGAAATGCTAAGAAAGCATGTCGGGATCTCATAAATCAACCTTTGTATATTGAGAAAAGGTTTGTGAAATTTACTTCTTCATAAATTATAGACAATCGACTTCGATTCAAAGCTTTAATTGATGTAACTCGATGGCTTTCATTTCAAAGACGCACATTCAGAGGTTATGATAAGACCAAAACATAGATAAATTATGACAATTTTCTTGAACTATTAAGTTTCATGGCATCTTACAATGACAAGGTAGCGAAGTATCAAATAAAGCTTCATGAAATGCCTCATACACATCACCAAGAGTGCAAAAGGAAATATTACAAGTCTTGATAACTAATGTCAAGAATGCAATCCGTAAAGAAATTGGTGATGCAAAATTTTATATAATTATTGATGAAGCTCGAGATGAGTCTAAAAAAGAGCAAATGGCTATTGTATTGAGATTTGTTCACAAAAATGAATATGTGCAAAAGCACTTTTTTTGGCTTGTTCATGTAAAAAAACACCGTTGCATTAACATTGAAAGAAGGAATATTTTTTATTCTCTCTCGTTATAGTCTTGATGTTCGGAATATCGGAGGATAGGGTTATGATGGTGCAAGTAATATACGAGAGGAATGGAATGGAATAAAAGCTCTAATTTCAAATAATGCTTTTTTTCGTGCTATGTTTATTGTTTGGCTCATCATTTACGGTTGGCTTTAGTTCGTTGCATCAAAGGAAGTTATCCTTATCTATCATTTTTTTTTATCAAATTGAACTCCATCATTAATATTGTTAGCACTTCATGTAAGCGTAATGACCAATTGAAAACTCGCTCATGCTGCAAATATTGCTTATTTACTTTCCATTAGTGAACTTAAAAGTGGGAGAGGGCTTAATCAAGTTAGTGGTTTACAAAAGACTCGGAGATACTCGTTAAAGTTCTCATCTAAAATCTCTTTCTAGCTTGATGAATATGTTTAGTGCAACTTGTGAAATTTTACTGAATATCATTGAAGATGAAGCTATAACTACTCAACGTGGAGATCCAAATGTAGTTTATGAGAGACTAACCTCTTTTGAATTTGTTTTCATTATGTGTCTTATGAGAAAATTTTTAGAGATATTTGATTTACTTTGTCAAGCTCTACAATTTCAATCTCGGGATATTTTGAATGCAATGCATCTTGTTTCTTTTATTAAATTACTCATTCAAAAATTAAGAGATGAAGAAAGGGATGAATTAATTTCAAAAACAAAATCTTTTTATGAAGCAATCAACATATCCATATCAAACTTGAGTGCTCATTATGTTACAAAAAAAGGAAGGGCTCGTCATCAACAATATGCAATTATGATTAAGCATCATTGGAAAGTTGACATATTCAATGTTGTGATAGATTCTCAATCGCAAACACTTGAATAATAGATTCGATGATCACACGATAGAGCTACTCATTCTTAGTTCGACTTTAGATCCTAGAGAGATGTGCATATCATTTAAGGTTAATGATATTTGTAAGTGGGTGTAAAAAATTTATTCTTAAGACTTTGTCGATCATAAAATGCTATAATTAAGAATGCAATTTGAGCATTTTGATCATGTATAGAATCTTTTTGATTTTGAAACATTATCAATTATGTCGTATTTATGTCAATGGTCGATGAAGATAAGAAAATTTAAAAGTTATCCACTTAGGTATAGAGTGATAAGACTTATCTTTACTCTTCTAGTTTCTACGGCTACCATGAAGCGATCACCTTTAGTAATGAGCATAGTCAAGACTAAGTTTAGTAACAAGATGGAAGATGACTTTCTTTTCGATTGTTTGTTAGTGTATATTGAAAAAGAAATTGTTAAAAATTTTAGTATAAACTCACTTATAGATAATTTTCATGACTTAAAAGAATAAAAATCTTTATTTTGAGTGATTGTATTTTAAGACTAATTTAAAAAATATATATTAATATATTATTTATAATATATATAAGTTTGTATAAACTATGATAAATTTATAAACATTTATTTTGGCCTCCGTTAGGGATGGTAATTTTCCCTCCCCACCATGCCTCGATCAATGCGGGGATTCCTTGTGTTGATTAAGGAACTAGGCTAAGCGAGGTGCCCGTATTTATTTTGAACGAGCATTGGGTGGGGATGGTATTTTCCTGCCCCACCCCATTTGTCTCATTTCATCCCTAAAATTATAATTATACCTTATATAAAATCTATGACTATTGACTCTTAAGGTTTATTTTCTATATGAACTATCGTTTTTTTTGCTATAGTTTGAAATTTAGTAATAGAATGAGACAAAAAGAGACGAA